TTATCTGTACTTTACTGTTGTATCAACTTGGATCATGGGGCATGGTAACGTGTACGATGCTTGTTCGTGAAGGTGATACATACAATGAATACTATAGGAATGCGGTAATATGATAGTATATCCAGGTGTATTTGTTAAGTTTTTAATTTGGTAGGGAGTGAGGAGTGTGGTAGTTGATATTACTCGGCGCGATAACGCGTCTCGTTGACTAGATGCATTAAGCAAAGCTTTTAAAGAATGTCTATCAGCGATCATGGTAGCGCTAGTGTAATACAATGATAACAATGATGAATGATAACAGATGTATTTATTAAACTCCGTACATAAAGAGGATAATAGCACAGATAGCCCCGATAGTCGCTGTAATACTATAGCTGCTTGGAGAGTGAGACACTCCATTGGCAGGGGCAGGGGGCTGGATACCTGCAGCAATGGTACTTGGATACACTGAGACAGAGAAAGCTGATGCTACAGCCTCGATTACAGGAGCAGTTCGGTTGCACTTCCAACAGTATGAGTTAAGCTGAAGAGATACCGTTGGATTACCAATAGCAATCACGAAGTCCTGCACAGAAGTATACTGAAACCACGAACGGGAGGTCACACAGATGGTATTAGTACCATCATCACTACAATAGCATCCCATTGTAGGAGGTCCATATCCACGTGGATCGTACAAAATGTACGAAATGGCGTTGAGGAAACTGGTTCCGTTATTCATATGTGAATTGATAAACGGCTGACATGTGGGAGATAGTGCTCGAGTAGCAAGGTGACTAACTGATGTTGTTTCAGTAGCATCCGAAGCACCGTTACGTTGCGAAGAGAACGGATCGTTGTCACAGTTACGACCATCACTAGGACAGTTACCACCACTAGTGAGTAAGGGATCAACAACACCAGCGGATAACCCATGAGTATTCTCGGCAAGTGATACGTCAGATATGCTTGTCTGCTCGATCGCTCGCACGCTACTCGTACTTGCAATTAGTCCAATTACGACATGCAATAACTGTACCATGTCAGAATGTTTGGAACTTCTTGATTTGTTTTAAAATGTAGTAAAGTAAAAAGTATAAAATAGAATATAATTTGTAACTGTTAGTAGTTATCAGAAGAGAACAAATCAAAAGTGTAATGGATGTCGCACTTTAAATCAAGATCAGCAAACTTAGTCTTTTCAAGAGTAGTGAAAAGGTGATAAAGTAGTTGGACAGATGAAATAGTTTGAAGAGTTATTTATTGATAAGAGTAAGCATTCTAGCTTTCATAGTAGTTGATTGTTTGTGTCTTGTGATACGAACAACTAACCCGTTAAATGATGGGAGGCTGTAAACGAAGGTTACAACCAATAGGATTGATTCCTGTAATTAGTAAATTTAATAATGAGATCGTCTACCCGATTATTGAGAACTTGAATCCTAGAGATGAGAGTTGCAGGGTACGGAGCACATGGATTTTTGGTAATGAAGGGGTTTAATTTTGGGTTTAAAGTGGATGTTACAAGAGTTAGCTTTGCCACAGGTTACCGCTTAAGAGTATCCGTCTGGATATTCCAACATACCATACTGGCCGTTGGCCTCTAGTGTCTAAGTGACACATATAAGTTTTTATATGCTCATTCACAAACTACCATTTCCTAACAAGAGCCTTCTGAACATGCATCATCTTAGCAAGTATACTCACTATACGTCCTGGCAATTCTATCAGCTTCATCATTCCCTCTAATACCCTGATGTGCTGCTACTTTTGCTATCGTTACCAGACATCCCCAGTCCTGAAATGAGTCCATCAATATATGGAACATGTCCCACAACTTAGTGTTATACGCATGCATTCTGTCACTTCTTCGTGCACCCATCAACACATACTGGCTACCTGTGAATACGTAGAGCTTCTCGAACAGTTCCATGGTGCCGAGTTGCGATTGTTCCTGTACCACAGCAAGTGCCATACAAACTGCAAACAACTCACAAGCATTATTGGTAGGTGACGGGAACGGATACACCATACCGCCATTGTATGCAGATTCAGTGCCAAACCATATACCTATACCACCAGTAGCATCAGGGCGTCCATTGTTTAGACATGAGCCGTCAGTGTATACCAATCGATGAGCTACAGTCTTATCGATACCCTGTCGAGCATCAAAGTGAGGAGAAATTACTAGTTCTGTGTGAATATCCATACTGGATTATCATGTATACGTATCAAATACTTGTTGCATTACCATGGTTGTGATCACTCGAGCAGACAAAGTTGCACCGTTCAAACCTCAGCACTATCTATGCAACAATCGTACGCGATCATTTGTACCGATGGTTAGCACACTGACATTAAGCAAATTAAATGTACCCAATCTTCGTACAGTGCTATGTAACGCTACAGGATTTGCTCCACAAACGGATGTATACTGTTCATACCACGACAACTGCAGTGGACATTTACAGTCATCTCCGTCGGGTAGGATATCGTTTCCATCATTCATGGTACATATGGACGAGGAGATCATGTCCGAAGCTGACAGACTTCACGCAGCGTTCCTTGGTATTACCAGAACACAGGGTACACTGACGCCACTCGAGTTCTCTGTTGCTCTATGCGAGTACTTCAGCGGTAGACGTGGAATTCTCAAGTATCGTGCACTCGGCATGCAACCTATGATGGGTTGCCGTGGTGTAGCCACGTGTCACTGGGGATCTGATTTCAGGAAGGTGTTCATTCCACGACGATGGATGAATCGCATTAATGTAGCCACCGTAGCCGAGCTTACTGACCCAAATGGAGAACACTTTGTATCCAGTGACTATACCATCCGGAAGGTTGTCGATGGTGACTACGCGATTCTCATCCGCTGCCCCACGCTATCTGATCAGTCAATTCAAGCGGTACAAGTGTATGCATGGGACGAAGCATCGATTGGTGTACACCCTAACTTTTGTTCCCCGCTAAATCTTGATTATGACGGAGACGAGGTACATGTAGTGCCACTAGTCACTCCTTTGGCAATCGTTGAACTCAAGCAATACATGTCGGATAACGCACCGTATACATTCGATACCATTGCTTCAGAATCGGTGTCACATCTGATGACTGGACATATTACAGTCGACAGACATAACGCATTTCTTCTCAGTACTCGATCACTAGGTGATACTCAGCCGGATGTAATAGGAACAGACCTACACACTCAGATGCGTAACAAACCTGGACCGTGGAAGAATATCAGGAATACCATGACAGCAGCAACTGTATCATGTGAGGACTTTCGTGGACGGTCTATTACTGCCATTGATAACCTTACACAGAGTCACTTGTGTATCCACGAAGGTCATACATTCAGCAGGCAACTGAAATATGCTATGTCTCAAATCTCGTCACAGAATCATGTAGTAAGGGCCAAATGGTTTCATTCGGCAGATGGCACAATGCAAGGTTTGCGTATTCCACCGTACATTTCGCTTAGCACTGGACTTCCAGGTGTACGTCTAGCTTCCCGCATCGGTAGAAATGTTACACAGTTACTCCTTGACATTGCTAAGAGAGCAGTATTATCTTCGGCTACAACGGGCGTATTACTATCGCTCCTGTCTAACGGAGAGTCGTACACTGCATGCATTGACCCACGTACTGGATCAAAGCTAGTGTCGTAACATCGTCCATTCCATCGAATGCTGAAATACTGCTACCAATGTCCAGGACTGGTATAGCCTTATACAGAGGCACGCTGGCTAGCAAGTTTCGCATAGCATTGGTAGCGTGTGAATATGCTCTCCAGTGTCTAAAGATTGAGTGGGAAGGTATCGAATTGTACGAATTAGCCTATTGTGTAGCAGCTGCATCATTCATCAACGAATCTCCTCCTATTACTGGCACCCGTAGCATGCAGTTTATCTCTCGTACACATAGTAACGTATTACTTACCGGTATAGTAGATGATTTGAAGCAAATGGATGCTACTATTCGAGAGGCAACACCTTTACACTTCGTGTCATCGTCTGACGATCCAATGATAGCGTCATTCATTGGTAACTTTTCACGCATTGATCATCTTAGCGTCCGGCACAAATGATTTTAAAGCGAAGGTACTATGCAACCACTGTCAACGAATTCGCACATGTTCGCTTATCATTCATGGTGTTCATGATCATTCTGTAAAATCTGGCATGAGCTGCATATACATAATTCGGAGCAGCCGAGTATCTGAGTATTCCGTTATGCGACATTCCAACATTGCCATTCTTCCCAGTCTCGACTCGGACTCCATCATTTGAGCTAACACGTACCGTAGTATTGTCTCGACTGAAAGCGTACACACTCAGCATATCATTTCCTATTGTCGTATAGTCCGCAGGATCCTTCTTGCTATTGAGTATGCGTTGTGATTGTATTGACGGAGTATAATAATGCGTACTACCATTGTATGACACCATTCCAACCAGAGAGTACTCACGATAGTGTATCAGAACGCATCTACAGTTGTCAATTGGGTAGCCTTTGGCCTGCATCATTCCAACAACTATAGATGCGTATCTTCCACGAACCACTGTTTGTCCATCGTACTCAGTAACCGATACCATGTCTCTGGCATGAGTAGAGTGTGAAACAGTACATAGTTGATCAATGTACGTCTGTACCGCTGATGGTAGTACGTCGGTGAGATGCCACGACGATGTAACAATACTTGGTTCAGATATCATTAGGGTAGTATGAACACCCTCACACACCTTCCAGGTTCCAAGGACAACTATCCCTCGCCTATCACTGGGTGTATATTCAACCACTCCTACTGCATTCAGAAATGCATCACGTAATCGCAGTTCCAAGTCTGGTGCATAATCATTTAGACTCCGTGTCATCAGTCGAGAACTGGCGACGACATATCTGTCAAATGCATTAGCTGACCGTTGTTCATGTATCTCGAAGTCGCGCACACACTCGTCAAGGATTCCTCTGGTCTTGTGTAGACTCTCAGATATAGATACAGCCTTATTAGCATCCATGTAGGAATCTAGATTTCTACAATAGCTGTGTACTATGCCGAGTGCTCTCGCGCTGTATGCCGACATTTTGGCTACGTGTGAACATGGACAAAGTCGTTACAGTGTCAATTCATCAGGTGATCGAATGTTTTTGTCGTCCGCAATATATCACGACGAGCTTGTAGCCGGATACTCTATCGATCATCCACATCCCAAGGAGGTAATCAAGTACGCCTGCTATCCTGTACTATCCGTCATGTACTTTTATGTGCAAACTGTGAATCATCTCAGTAACGCGACTGAACAGGATGAAGCTACTATATTGTATATGCTGCATTTCGAGAACTTTGTATACTTGCCAGAATTGTGTGCTATTGCAACCCAGAAGTGGCGACAAGACAACCCCACGGCGTCATTCGAGATACGTATCATCACCAGCGGAATCGTGGAGACATCGTACGTACAAGAGGCAATTTCAAGATTAAACAAGCCAATATTACTTTTTCCAAATTTGAATCAGCATGTTGTTGTAATATCGTCAATATTGTGAGCAACTCTGAGCAGACACTTGGACATTCAGTATCAAGTAATATTGGATACTTTCAAATATGTATCCGGTGATAAATGAGCGGTGATGTGTTTGAAATCAATTTACCATTACAAACCATTGTGTATTTGCCAATACACTTGGTGGTATCAATGACCACTAATGGATTCAACTTGCATTCCGAATGAACCATCGTGTGGTAACCCAATTGTTTAGTATTGGTTGTTATTTGATAATGTCACATTTTGTGTCCTGCCATGAGATTGATTTCATCTGAACATTTGACAACCGTGCAAGAAACATTGGTTGAACTCGTACAGTTTCATATGCAAGTGCATCAGTAGTGTATCGACCAACGAGACCAATTTTGTTGGTTGATACTCGTTGATACTCACTGATAGCTTAATGAAAATGTGTCAAACTATGACTTTTATGACAACACTACAAACTGTACGAGTTTAAAAGATTATTGGTGAATATTGTCCAATTTGATTGTTGACTGCAATTATTTTGGTTGGTTCGAGTTTCATTCTTTTGTCAAAAAACATCAAATGAATATTGAAACAACAAAGACAGCAACAACACAACTGTTGAATGAATATTACCAAATCAGCACTCAAGCCATACCAACACAAAGAGTCAAGTCTGAATGGCAGGATGACAACAAACGAGGTTTGTTTTTGGGAATCATCCAAGAGGGAGAAACCTCACACATCACTCGACTGCACAACCTGCTGACTGCCAACCAATTTGCAGAGCAGCAAGAGTTCTCAACCAAGATCCAGTTGGCAGACCCAGAGCATCCTCGTACATTCATTGATGACATGTTTGGGTATTACATACTGCCATTCCACAAAGACTACAATGATTCATCCAGCTGTCACACTCCAGTTTCATCAAATCCAACATCAAGAACCAACTCTGCTGATGATCTGGACTATGTTGCAAAAGTGAGTGAGCTACAGCACAAGGACTTGAACAAGGCGGTTGAGAAGAGATACAGTCTGCTTGTTTTACTGGAATAAGCTGTCCTTGCAAGGAGCACACATCATATCCCAAAAGAACATTGGAATGGCATACAACGAACCATCCATCTTGCTACGATCTGGTTTGACGCAGAAACATCAAATACAGAACGGACTGTTGTTGTGTATCAAGTGCCATGACCAATTTGGTAAACTAAAGCAATATGTGGATGTAGTGGATGACAAACTGGTGATCAAAGTGATCAATGACTCAACAAGTGACAAGCACAAGAAGTGGATTGAGACAATTGAAGATTTGAAAGTTATCCGCAGAACAAGGCAAAAGAGATGGATTGACAATCGACAAACAGTCGAATTCAACAGTGAAATGACATTGTATTTCATTCACAACAATCCAACTCGACTACCAAACAGGAACGCACTAGAATTCCACAAGACAGCATGTCTCATTTGGTGTATGGCTGGTGGTGTAGAATCTGATGATGAGTATTGTCCATATGATGATGGCTGTACTCCTGTCGATTACCAGAGTAAGAATATCGAGAAATGGATGGACTCGAGTGCTATTTTGATCATTGAAAATGTTCAATAAAATTGTGTATTCATTACAAGAGACTGGCTTCTGTTACAGCAATAGTTGTGTCGAGTCAATGTCATGGTGTAATGGCTTCAAAAAACACCATTTTGATGATCGATACTGCATCAATATGATCGTTTTACAACCGATATATTGAAACTTGTTGATATCGGAACCAGTATTGATATTGGTAGTGGATGATGTATAATCAAAAAGAAATCCACATCGGAACGTTCCTTACTCTCGTTTGTGATTGTTTTCCGTGGATTGTTCTGGTATTTTATGTAGCTCACTTTTTGCCTTGCACGCATGTAAGCAGCAACCACGAATCGTTGAAACACAGATTGCACAAGTCGATACATTCTGATGACATTTGGGATATAACAAGACACAAGTGGTGACCAAAGTTTAATTCACAATCCATGAATGAACACGATCGCGTTGCCGACTGGATCAAATAACAACGCAGGTGTTTGGAACATGTCTTGAATACATGAATCGACCAGATTGACAACATACTCGTGTAGTCGATAATCAATGGAATTGACCAAACGGAATGCCTGCAACTGCCAAAAAACCAAACAAAATGCAAAGCATTTATATTAAAATGTTACACTACGACATCATGTCTCAAAGTGCTGAATGAGTCGTTGTCATGCAGTTTTATTGTTGATATTGTTTATGGGTTTGAAGATGTGCAATACAATCCGTAGTGTGTTGCTCAACGACACTGATCAAATGGTACTGAATACAGTGTGTCAAACAAGATGATCGCTTTGACTAGTGTGTCAGAATGTTTTGATAAATAACAATTATATCATGATTGCTATATTGGTTCATGTAGTATATTGTATAGTCAACCATGCACATGCACATGCACATGCATGTCATTGTCAATTGATGGTCGTTTGTGAACAACTTGTGGACAACTTGCAAATATTACAATCATGGTGATTGCTTGAATGTCGATACCAAGCCATGCGTTTGATGGTCATTTACTGATCAGTTTACTGTTCAACGATGCAAATGGTCGTTGTCTACCAATCAGTCGAGTCGTAGACATAAACTGCACATTGTGTGTATCGCTTTGTTCATGACCAAACTGTAACAATGTGTATTTTGCATTGAGTCTGAACTGCAATCTGCGACTTGTACGCATTATGATGTATTGTTTCAATAGCCATTGTTGCATTCATCAACATCAACGTGCAGTGTCGATCTGATGTTTGGTGTTGATGTTGTGTTGATATTCCAACAACACTGAATATCGTAAATCAGGTCAGCATTGACTCATGTGATAATAATCCACAGACAATCGGTTGTACCAAACTGTTGTACAAACACATTGACATTCGATCGATCGGAACGACAATCAATCACTCTAATGTGTTGTTGGATATACAAACTATAACACACATGGTGACTGATGTTGTAACACATGTCGTAACACAACATTGAATCAATCAAACTGCAATTACACACTCCATCATATGTCGCATGTGTTGGTATGTCAAGTATGGTGATATCGAGTCAAAACAGTCGATTGGCATAGTAATCCATCAACATTCGAGTCGTTTGGTCAACCAAACAGTTGTATCATGCGGTAATATCAATATACTGCGATTGTAGCATGTCATTCATCAGATATTGTTGAAACCATTACAAAACCTGTTTGGACCAAATCAAACTGTGACGAATACCGCATACTCGGATCATCATCAACTAAACCAGGAATACACACTTTGACAATATTGACAATTGATGATTGAACCTGATTCATGGTTAATTCGTCGAGTGTTTGCAATGTGTTAATATAACCAGTCATATATCATTTGGTGTTGTTAACTTGTGGTTTGGTGATGGTTTGATTGCAAGTGATTCTTGGACACAACACATTGCAAACCAAGCAACTTGACTACTTGAACGACTCAAACGACTCGATACTAACCGGAATTCAATACAATTGTTGAATAGCCCGTGTAATATCAGATCTAGTCAAGTCAACAGACAAGCCAACAAACACGACACTCAATACAACTATATACAGCAAAAATGCGTTGGATTCATTTGTGATTGTATACTCATCAATCTTGAATGACAGTGTTTGTGCAGTTTTGGATATAGGTTGTATGGATATTGCAACAAACATGTAGTATTATAGTATGACTGGCATATACTACTATTGGATCAAACAACATAACAGTCCGATATAATGTCAAATATATATGTGCATAGAATGGTCACCAAACCTGATCGGTTGTGTATTAATCATAAACAACTACCAATTAGCAACAAGTGCCATTCGTATACATTGACAGAATTACTACAGACAACACCAACAATTACAAGATTACGTGCAATATATCAAGAATTGTGACATGGTTTCAATAAACCAACAACAACTGAACAAATGACATTGCAATGATTATTCACAAAACAAGGCAATCAAACGACAACGACAATGTTAGTGACGATTATGTTGGACAATATTCATGATTCAAATATCGACAGTCAAACATTGGTTAACCAACAGTTGTGCGATTATACAACTGACCCGTGTATTGACAAGTGATCAACATCGATCCGGTCATGGTTAAAACGGTGTATCACAGGACTTGAAAGTTGTCAGTATTGTTGTGGTATAATATTAGCAACTACACACAACTTGACATGAATGACAATGTTGATGTCAAAACTGTCAATGTATTACAATGTATTGGTCAACAGTGACTGCAATCAATGACAATATTGCAGTCAATTCAATCCATGTGTTGATTGGAACAATCATTATCCACTTGTCAGATTCAGTATGTAAATGCATGTTTTGTAACACATTTACTAATCCAACAATCAAACTCAATCTGAATATTGAATATTATAATGTAATCAATTGAGTTGAATTGACACTCGATTGAACAATACAAATAAACACATGACAAATGCTTAATTTAACAGTTGTAATTTCACACAAAATGCTTAATTTAAACTATTCAAAGTGTGTGAATTTGAATACATGACAAATTAATACAATTTGACAGTTGTAATTTCACAAAAATGCTTAATTTAACAGTTTTAATTTCACACAAAAATGCTTAATTTAAACTATTGTGTGAATTTGTTTCACATTATTCACATGACATTAAATTTTGGATTTAAAGTCGGATTTTTTCCTTTCTTTTCTTCATTACATTTCATTCCACTCTATTCTATTACATTTCCTTTTGCTCTTTCTTCTACTCTATTCCTTTCTATTTAAACAAACTCTAATGGAAAACATACCATTCTACATTCAATACCTCCACAACCAACCTGTAAAGGTTGATACCCATATCAATAGTGAAAGGACCGCTTTGCGGCCTTTCCCCCTTGATAGTGTTGCTGACCTGGTTGTTGCTTTCCAAGCACTTCCAAACTCTCCTCTTGCTTCTACCTTTGTTGACGAGCTCACTCTCCACTTGCCTGATGGACCTGCTATTCCTGGGAATACTCTTTTGATTGATATTCAGCAACCTACTGGTTCCTACGACCATCCACTGATTATTCGCTCTCTAAGAGATACTATCACTATGGACGAGCATATGGTTTGGTCTCTTCCTGAACCGGTGTATGACAATCCTGTGTCAAGACCCAACACCTCTGGCAGAATTTGGAAGAAGCCGACACATGTTTTCCTGTGGTCTGATTTTAAGCAAAGCGTTGTTGATTGGATTGGTGCTAATCATCATCAGCATTCTCAAAGAGTACAAAGACCTGTGTTTGTTCCTGGAATTATCATCACCGAAGAAGTTCAAAGTCTTCAACCCTTCATCAAGCTCAATTTGCTCAATATCTCTGCCAAGTGTTTCATTCCTCCTTCTGAATTCAAGGCACGACGTCAAATCACAAGCTGCGTAGGGGAACCAGATCATTTAATGACTAGAGATGGAGAGATTGTCGCCATTGTTGAAGAAAAGGGCAATTGGACCTTGCCTATCAGTGATATCGTCAACTCATACGACACAGAAAGGACATGTGCGTCTGCTCTTGACCAACTCTACCACTATATGCGATTGAACCACAGGCAATATGGGATTCTGTCGACATACGAAAACACCTGGTTTGTTTATCGAAATCAAGAATGTGCCGTTTGTGAAGAACCTCAAGTTCATGAAACTTTGTATGTTTCCGAGGGAATCTCCTTTACTGTTCGAACACCCACTGTTCAACAATGCTTATCGTATTTCAACAGCATCGTCAATCACAATCATATGGATTCTCCCCCCGCATCAAAGCGTCCGTCTAGAGCTAGTTCTGCTACCCAAATCTCTCGACCAAGTAGTACTAGAGTATCTCCGCGTGCTAGTCTCTCCAAAGGATGCAGTTCTTTGTCGTCTGGAATTCAAATCAACGAGCAACCCCAAGACTTTGATGTTGATGATTTCAAATTCGATACAGTTCTTGGTGAAGGAAGAAGCAAAGTGTATTTGGATTACTATGGATCTAGCCGTATTGCTCTCAAGGTTGCTGATATTGCCAAGCACGGAGAAATGCTTCCAGAATTGCTGAATGAGGTTTCTGTGTATGAACAGCTATCGGGGCTACAAGGGAATGGCATACCTAGATTCGTTTGTCATGGGTTTGTGGAGGACGTTCTGTACTGTGTAGGTGTTTCTATCTGTGGTACGGTGGCCAATGGATTCACTGAACAGCAAAAGCAGAAGTTGTTGGAAACACTCGAAAGCATTCACGAGGCCGGTATTCTACATAACGATATCAAAAAGGAGAATATCTTGATTGATGAATCTGGGAATCCATATATCATTGACTTTGGCTTCTCTACACGAAATTGCTCCCCTGTTGCTCGAATGGAAGAAACAAACTTGCTCCTTAGTCTGGTTGAAAGTACTTGAGATAGTACATTTGGGTTGGAATGAATTAGACAATTATTTGTATGAATAAAGCACCGAGTCTTGACCATTATATTTGACATTGATTGTCCATGGCATTTTAGCATAAATCACCTGTCACAGGCGAGATCAACTCCAGACACTTTGAACAACTTTTAGCAGAGCATCTACCAAGAAGAGTAGTATCATTCAGTGCCCTATCTATACTACTATTGTTTTTTACATTTTCCACTGTTCAATACATACTGCGGTACTATTTCAAGTATTCCAAAACCAACTTGTAAATCAGACAATTGAAGATGAGTTTCATTTACGAAATATACATTTTTGAATCAACAAAACGACACATTTACTATTGAATCTGGTTTAAACCGTTCAACAATAATATCGCGAAATGCAGTTTTGTATTGTGCAACAACTCTTGCTGACATTCTAATAAAAATGAGTTTGTAAGCCTGCAATTCCAACAATATCAATCAAGTCAATTTTCAACAAGAATATTCGATTTATTTTTATTCCAACAAAATCAAGGAAATTTTCAACACAAGTGTTCCATTTTGCATTTGCTGAGATTTGGTTGTTGATAACATGAGCGATTCAACTCATATTCCTGTTATTGAATCGAGGAGACCAAAACCTTCTGTCACTGCAAAGTGTCCAAAGTGTTCTGTAGTCATTGAATTCTATCTTCCTGTCACTCCAGCTTATGCCTTTTCTGTTTATAGAGTGGTTTGATTTTCTTGTAGAGACTTGTTCTATTCCAACTTCTGCTGTTCAACAGACTCCATCTGTTTCTGCTAAAAAAACTACAAATGCCTCGGACCAATCTACCAACAATGCTTCCAGTCGCAGACCAAAAACTTCTCTTGGAAAAACCGGCTCAGGTAATTGTAAAACCTTTGAAAAAGGATGATTCTTGTCTTCTAATTTCATGATTGATTTAGATGACCATCCAATCGATATGGAATATTATGATTTGTTGGAGATTCCTGCTACGGCGTCTAGTGCTGTCATCAAAAAGGCGTATTATCTCAAGGCTATAAAGTGTCATCCTGATAAAAACTTGGACAATCCATTGGCTGAAGAAATGTTTAAACAAATATCTGAAGCTTATCAAGGTACAGACTTGATGGTTCATGTGTATCCAGAAAAACTATACTAATGTTTAAATTTTAGTCTTGTCGGATCCACAGCGTCGTTCATTTTATAATATTCATGGAAAGGCTGCTGCAGTGGGTTCTGAAGGATCTGTGTTTGTCGATCCAGAACAATTCTTCAGACAACAGTTTGGTGGTGATATGTTTGTTGATATCATTGGTGAAATATCCATTGCTCGGAATTTTAAAGACGTCATGGCTGCAAAAGATCCATCCAAATCCAATGACTTGACCACTGACTCCAACTCTTCTACAATCAACTCGGGAACAGAAGTGCCATCTACAGATTCTACCACTCAAGCCAAACAAGACTCGGCATTGATGTACAAACAACGTCGTTTGATTCGTAAAGAACGTATTCAGAAACTGTCGCATAATCTTGTAGTCATGACACAACTCGGTACAAATCAGGTCAAGTTTGATCCAGAAACTCCAACAAAAAACATCAACCCAACCATTGAACTGGCTGCTCGTTGATGATTTGCTGATTATGTGGGTTTATTGTTGATGGGTAAGCGTGTAAACTGTTGTACATGCAATTTATACTGTGAGTTGATGGTCAAGTCTGACAATCTGCATTCATGAACTTGTGTGCAAGCAGTGTTTTGTTGGATCTCAAACATCCTGCAACTCGCACAGTTGTTTGCACAGTTGCTCGTCTATCAATCCAACTGGATCTGCAACTCTGTCAAGCAAATCCGTAGTGCAACCTGCTGATGTTGATGTGACTACAATAAACACGAAACTCACCGAAATAACACTTGCTGATCTGACAGGTCAATGAGTGACACTCTAACCATTAATACCAAACAAACAACGTTTTGAATCAACAATCAACTGTCATGACAATTGGTAACATTCGTGGTCATTTGGCATCCATCTCAAACCATCACATCAAACACATTTCCAAAATCGATTGCTGGACAACTCAACTCGGTGCACGAGTCCGTATTACTGTGCCAGAGTCATGTTCCGCACACACTATCCATCAACTCTGTCACCAATCATCCATACAACAACTGACACATACACAAAAACTGTCAACGCAGGCATCCAACGACATCCTCACTGTGTGTTTCACTTCCTAATTGTTGTCAAATATTGTCAGTCAATGTGTCAAACATTGCCAGCAAACACTCACTACTTTGACATATATTCAGCCAAACCGACTATGTGGATTATCCGAGACTTGCATTGCAACGGACAGTTTCAAGCACACAGTGTGTGGTTTCAATGTATTGCAACACTCGGCAACTGTTCCCGAACATCGAGACACCATTCGGTATTGACAAATGGTTTGGATTTGCAAAATGACTGTTTATGGCACCATAATTGTCGCAAACATTCCAAACTTTACACCTGACTGTGTTTGGACTGTTGGCTGTGTACATTGGACACTCGGCTGCATGCGACTATCAAACGTGAAATGTCTTGTCTGCCATTCAACATGTCCTGTCAGCAGTTATTCCGTTTGACGATCACTCATCCGTGCTACTGTTTGCAAACTGGAACACTGAATATGCGCCATTACAACGCATCATACACGCATGAATACTGCGTTTGACTGTCATGCAGTATGCTGGCAATATGCAGACAGTAACATCACTCGAGTGAGCAGGACTGCATGTCATTGACACTCTATCAATCACTTTGTGTGTGACGAGACTGAACAAACACTTGTAAAATCTGCTCGTGTAGACATGAAGATTGCGGTTGTTGACGATGTGTCATTTACACTTGCATCCGCACTAATACACATGCACCAACTCATTCAGTCCATTCCACTCATCCAACTGACATATCACAACTCTGCATATATGCCTATGATCGGATTGCAATGTTCACGATTGGTGGAATATATGCAGCGTTTGATGGATCATACACGGACACACACGAGCTATGCATTCAGTTATTGGATGCTGCCAATGCAACAGTGAATGACTGTCAACTGCACGCACATGCACATACTGCTCGGCTACATAAACGTCGACTGTATCGCCCAATCAAACGGACAACTTGACATTGTAACACTGGAATATTGATGTACATTACAGCAAGTATCCGCGACAATCACAATGAACTCTGTCGCAGCCAACTAGATGCATGCTGGGACAAACACAATGCAACAATCCAGCGACTTGAATGTGCCAATGAACATATGAACTGGATCAAGTTTGCTGACACACTTGACCGGACAGTATTGATGATCGTTTTGATATGACATTTGTAGCAGCTCGAGTCATGTCTGGTGGTGCAACACACACAACAGTCATCACCCCATTTCATTCCACTATACGATGTGATGCCAATCATATCATTCAGTACAGCAGTGATATTATTTTTGACATACCGAATAATCACTACTTGTGTCTTGCTACGGACGATAGTGGACATTTACTTGACTTGCAGTAATGTCAGTACTTGCATATACGTGATTCACTTCCACCATACAAACTGTTTCCGATTCGTGACGATGCCACTGATCTCGACTCGGATATATCTTGAAATCGACTAGCTGATGCAATACAGCAGATGGTTCACACCAGACACTCGGAAAACAACAGGATATTGGTCACATTCTGTCGAGTCGCATTATATACATCGGATGATACACCTGATGAACCACCCAATCCATTTGCTCGTTTTGCTACACAGCTCAGTCAATATGTTGACGGCCACTATGCAACCTGATGGCAGTCTGCATACACTGTACCAATTGTACTGACTGCATATATCGACAAGAATAACGGTGATCACATTGATACAAATGACAACCACGGTATTACACTGATTGATGTGTGTCATAAACTAGTATGCAAGGTCTTGCAAACACACATTGATGGATCGTGGTGCTCAACAAACTCGTCACCACTGAGCATGGTCGATTTCAAATCAGACAAGTGTGTTGTGTAAGTTGATTCACTAGTCGATATTGTTCAATGACGGCAGTGCGTGCAGCTCAATATTATTGTTGTGTTGATTGACATTCAAAATGCATTCGACACTGTCATGGTTGGTGCCTTGATATGATAACTGCAGCATATGTGATTGACACCACGCACACTGGTCTTGCTAATAGCGCTACACACATGCTCATCAGCTTGTGCTCAGACTGGATCATTGGTTTCTAACCCATTTCCAATTGAACATGGAGTCCGGTGGTGGTGTCCACTGTCAGATTGTTGTTCAACATGTTCATCAACAACATACACGATGATATCAACCGATTGTCATTGCATGAGTATCGTGTAAATCACCACCAATGTGAGGATTCATATATGCCGACAATATCGTGATATTTGCCGATTCTGATCAGTTGCTCCAGTTGGCATCTGGTGTACTTGCACAATGGATGGAACAATGTCAAATAAGCTTTGGTGTAGTCAAATGCAACATACTTAGTTTCTGTGGTCACAGCACTTTGATTCCGAATTACCAATTGATATGATGCTACACGGACAACAGATTCGTCGTGTTCAACACTACAAATATCTGGATGTTGTATTGCACGAACCACTGTATCACACCATGCGACTGGACTATAATCAGGTTGCTGTATCCAATAGCATGTTGGTTTTGTCTGGTTCTTGCAAACCATCAACTCACAATCAACTTTTAGACACGAATATTCTTAGCAGTCATTCTAGTAATGATCATGTATGCACTAGATGTGGTTGTTGGTTGGTGGTGACTTGACTTGCATACACAGTCAACAGTCAACAACGGTGTGCTACACATTGAATGCATGCAAATCCATGACTGTCAACTCCTTGTTGTTGAAATGGGTTCAGATCACCATCAGCTCACTCACTCGTTGCACCGATGCGATTGCATGATCAACCTGACACCAACCAAACCACACTCGAATATATATGTTCCAGTCATGTGCATGGTGTATCGATTGTCAACTCACAATGCCAACTCCAACACATTCCACCATGATTATGGTCACATCACACCATGCTGATGTATGTCGATCGGTATCACATTGCAACCAGTTATCATCCAATGACTGCAATGCAATACCGTGCATGTATTGTGACTGATACGCTGTGCACCATCAACAAGTGTGCAACTGTCACTCGATATATCGACTCTGATATGCAACAACATGCTGTGTTTACCATGATCAGGTTTTTGATCAATCTTGGACTCACAATACATGATTTGTCATGTTGGATCGTGTGGATGTGTCATGGACTGCAATTTAGTTGCAGACACACATATGTTTAACATTGACTGATGCATACTGTGCAACGACTGATCAGTGCAAGTGTAATTGCACACTTGGTGGTATTGTGCATTATAGTTGTTTGACAATGGATGAATGCTGGATTGGTCGGTTATATGCAACCCATCTGAATCAACCTATTTGGACAAACACTCGATGTAACTGACAACAATGTGTATATATGGCTGTTCGATCAATCGAGTTTGTGCTGATATCGTCATACATGAGTTGGTCAACAAACTTGTAGCACTGCCAAAATACACTCGTATGGTTTGCTTGCATGAGATAATCTTGTGGTTCAACACCCAAGTTTATTTTACAGTCGTATTCACGTAAAATCAAATACTTTTGTATTGATCTTGTAATGATTGTCTTGGAATAAACAATCGTTACATATTCATTGTTGTTGTTGGAAATGGATTATTTGTTTTATTGAAGCTACAAGTTGTTTGGTGTCTGGAATGGCTCAGCACACACAGTCATTCCAAACACCAAAGTAATTGTCAGCAGGGTTCAAGAATGGACAGTATGATGCTGTATAGTGTAGTTCCAAACCTCGCGCTGTTTGTTGAATAGTTGGTAAACCATGTCTAATCAGAGTTGTTTTGTGGAATGGAATGTTGTCTAGAATAAAGTGACCGTTTGGAAATGTTTGGGAATGTTGCATGTCATTGTTTAACAAGTTAATATTACAGCATTCACTGCTGCCTTGATCAATCTCTCAACATATTGATCGTCATATGAAACACACACTATTAGACTATAGTTTTGAACTGAAATGTTGTTTTTGGACTGTACTCTTTCACCTCTGTTTGTATAGCCATACATTGTACAATCACCAAGTTTAAACCCAACTCGTCCATTGCAATCCAAATATTTGATTCTATTGTGCGAATGTTTTCAATACTTGACAAACTCATCCATGCCAATTCATCAGTCGCTTACAAGAGTGAGCTTTCTGTATGTGTTGTTCCATTTCAAGATGCTTGAAATAGTTGACTGACAAATGTGTGCCTGGTAAAAGTCCATTCGAGCACTACCAACATCACTTTGTCCGAGTGTTGGTGACTTTACGAGGTTGTCACATATCCACTTTTCAATGTCTTGTTCGAGTCCAGAGTCTGATAAATACAAATCTACAGTGTAAAAAGTGGAAAGAGTGGAAACACTAGACACTTTCAGTCAAGTTCAGAATGTCTACTACAAACTGAAACCCAAGACTTTGGCATGACAGAATCTCAAACAGCAGCAATGAAATGACCCAGAACTATACAGCATAACGTCTGTGACAAGAACAATTGTTTTACCACTCGACATAGTTGTTTTGGTTCCAGAACTAAAATATATGATGGTTATGGTTGAACAAGTGACTAGATCTGTCAAATATCTCAGATTTGAACACTATTCCAGTCGAGGCTCTCATTTTCAGAGTTCAATCAGCTTGACTCTGTATTTCTGACGTTGATAGTTTGTTGTATAACAACTTGATACAACAAGAACATATCAGAGCTTACTCGACCAACCAACGCACACTGGAGTGTACAACAAACCATTGTGTAGTGGCATTCAGGTCATGTCTTTTACCACAGTCACCTCAATAACTGGTCAAGGTTTCAAATCCCACAGTGTTTGATATACACCAATACCCAACACTCTGTTGAACCATGCTACTGTGAATTTCGCAAAGCGTTTAGAACGCCATGTGGAATGGAAACTAGACTTCAATTTCCATCCATATCAAAACACCAATCGACAATTTGGAACCACATTCAACGTCGGTTTGACACATTGTTTACAAATGCAATATCGCAAATTGTACAAGAACATACGCAGTTTGTTGACATGTTCCATGCGATTTCAGACCACAACTACCAACAGTTGATAACCTAATAGCAAATACACATTATGAGCAACAAGACCATTGACACACATACCTTGGAATTATGAACAAGATGCTTATAGATATTGAAAACACCAAGAAACAACTAGATGAACTCGATACTCGACAATCACCACATACATTCAGTGTTGCACCAATTTGTTGATTTCAACATCACCACATAATGTTGGACAATACAGGCTGTAACAATCTTTGGAAGTGGTGTAGTTTGTATTTTAAAATAATATGGGTTCAAGCTATGGCTTAGTTTTAGAATAATGATTTGTCAGAGTTGATCGCATTTTTATATGATGGCTTGGCTAGTAACAATCATGCGATATGCGTATCAATGACAGTATAAACTCTATTTTATTTTAAAACAAGGTATTAAAATTCCAAGTTGGATAGTTGGCATGGACATAAAAGCTCGATCAAAAACAGGTACATCATCACAGTAAATATCATTAGATCAGAACCACAACCTATCATTCTAATCTGCTGCTACAGATAGATGTTCAGCATAAATCAAAATAGTAATTTTCGATTGCAGCTGGAAGGTTGTAGTTGGATTTACCAAGATACCGATGTGCTAGACAAAAGTCATCGTCGTGAATCAAAATCAAAAAGTTGCGACATAACTCGTGTCGTTCTAAAGCAATAGTTTAAAGTTTAGCAAACGTGGATAGCTAAAACATGGTGTAAATTTGGTTGTGTATATTCAAGCATGATCATGTGTTACCTTGGTCAACATCCCAGATTGGTTCTTGAAATGTCGATGCTGATGGAATGACTAAAAACCGTCGACCTTCTAATGAAGGTTGACGCTCATCTTCAAACTCGTTGGCTTTGGCAAGCATCCATGTCTTGTAGAATTACAATTTATGCATTGGATTCATAGATACGATATGTTGGTAAAGTAGTGTTGTAAACAAAAGATTAGCTCAAAATACGTGCTAGATGAAACCCCACTCGTATATACACTATATGACATGTAAAGAATAGACCAATATCTTCTAGACATTCTTATGGTGATTTAAAGTCCAGATAATCAGCACTTGATAATAAATATCCAATAAAATGAGCAAAATCATACCGTAGTTTGATACACCTTGGCCACATTTGCAATAGTATCACCATGACGAATCCAATGTATATACACAGGTTCGCAAAAGTCATCATAAATCTCATCGCCATCTTGACTAGAATCAGATTCGTGATCAATTTCATTAACCGTGTTGGGTAATATGTCTGTTGCGCACTCGGATTGCTGTAGATGACGCACATCTGAGGCGGGCAAAGCCAGAGAGATATCGCTATACACTGGAGATGGCTCTTGCTGGAAAGCACACTTTGATTTTTTGGGAAAGTTGTGCGTGTATGTGGTCGGTGGATAATCAGTGAAATCCATATCAAAATCTACATTATCCGTAACGATCGTTGCCATTTATGAGTCGTCCGAGTTGCATCGACGGGAACCAAATATATAAGCGAGTAATTTAAAAAAAGTTGATGTTATTACTCTAGAATACCAACTCGTGTAATGGTAACGGATATGTTTGGTTTAATTGAATCAATACTAGCTGGTGCGTTTGAACAGACACATCAGTTTGACAGCTGTCGAATCTGATTTTTTATTGTGCCATACAATAGGTCTTGTATTGTGTTTAAACAAGATTGATTTTTGCACAATGGTGCACACAACAAATACAATTCTAATTACCTGTGAGGCGAATAGTGGCAGACATGTTTAAAGTATTTGATATGTATTGAATCTAGCAAGATAGAGGTGTTTTGTTTTTAAAAGCTGATCGTTGGACGACTATATCGCTGTTTTAGATGAGAATGGTATAATTCAGTCTTACACGTAGGTCAGGAATGTTTTTGGAATATGTACATTAGCAAAAGGAGGAAGAGCGAGCATAATATATCTTGAAGACCGACTCACGTGTATTGAAGGTAATAGATCATCAGTCCTTCAATGCAAAGCTTAATAATAGGTTGGCAGTGTTTTCAAGCCTAGTTTACTATATATCTTGCATGCTGAGCATTGTTATGGCCAGTTTCACATGGATCTGATGGGGTGGCTATTTGTTTCTCTTGTCCAGCTGAGGGTGGATATCCTTGGACATGCAAGATTAGCGAGTTGTCTAGAAATACAAGTTTTATCTTGCATCGAGTAACCTCGAATGCCATGGATACACTGTTTTAATAATAATGCATTTATTCTATGCATGAGCATGCCAAACATATCCATTCCTGCAGACTAGTTCTAAATGACTGAAACATCCGTATTACATCAGAAAATGAGACAAGCCAGGTGTACAGTACAATATAGGACAGACTGAGGATTGCACTATGCTTCAGGTTTTGATGTGATTCTAGCCCAAGTCCTGTTAGATGTTTTGCCCAACCTCACGGCCATATCCATGTCAAATGAAACACTATTAGGAACGCCAAACTACATGGCAAACAGCCAATCTATGGAGTGATGAGTCGTTTTGCTAGACAGCATTGTTTTTGAACTCTTAGTTGACTGGTCTTTGCTCATGTGTAAAACTAAACGAATGCTTTATTCCAATGAGTCTCCTTTCATCTAACCAGTCATTGTGTAATTGGCATGGAAACAACTGCTGCATTACTGAAATGTGACTATTCCCAAGCTTTAGCGCAAGTGTATCAAGTTTTAGAATACAAATGACAACATCATATGATGGGCGTTGTTTTATTAAAGCCGATTTATACCAAGGAAGCGCAACAAATATTCAATTCAAAACATTGGCCTTGATAAAACAGGTTTGATCCTACGTGAATACAGCTGCAAGCACATCCAGTCAAATGGAATACAACTACCAACAACTTCTACCTACAAACAATATGGAGACCGATCCAGTTTCATTTCTAGCTGATCAGACTATTGCTGTTGGTAAAGGTGCTCGCAACAAATCCAGAGTAACTCAAGCCTGCGACTTGTGCAGTAAAAAGGTGTGTTTCTACTACAGGACATGAGAACAGATGAAAAGATTACTGTCAATGCCTCAGTGATGACAGCTATTGAATCAGCGTCAGTGATGCTATTGCACTCAAATGTACAGTATCATTAACATGTGTTTTTATTAGAAATCAAAGTGTGATGGAGCCAAACCACTATGCAGCAACTGTGTTTCTTCAGATACTCCTTGTACATACACTCGTAATCCTAAACGTCGAGGCCCGCCACCAGGATATTTTTCTAGTGTTATGCATCGGCTCAAGCAACTCGAGGCAAAAATAGCAAACGCTGACAAAAACTCGACAGCTTCTACTTTCAATCAGGCCAATGCCATGAAACCAAATGAAGCCAAAAACAAACGAAATGGCTATTCTAACGCTGAGAGGCCTGGTGTAGGGCCCGTATCTGATAATCAGAGCGAGCCTGGTCTGCTCTCGCAGAATTCAAAACTAGAGGCAGATTCAGAATTACTACTGTCTAAGCTTGAGGCCCACTTTGCCGTTTTACAACAGTCTACAGATACTGCACCCGAGGCTTGGCGCTCGGATGATCCACACATGTCGGGTGCGCATCATTCCAACAGCGGTAACTCTATTGGCGGATATTCCAAGGAAGGGTCCTCGCATACATACAAATCCGAGCGAAATCACGTACAAAGCCTATACCAACAAAAGCAATCTGCTCCCATGCAAGTGCAGGTGCACTTGCATGGCTTATCTGCTTACCCGTTTGACATGTCTGTCAATCATCCTGCTTTCCGACCTCATGCTACTGTTGCTCAAATTACTGCTTCAAATCAGGCCACTCTCAATACACCACTTTCTTCGTGTGTCGCCTCTGTGCCTTTAGCCTATAGTAATTCTTTTGACTATTCTACTCATTACAACAATATTACTGACACAAAAACCCAGATCCCAGCCCAAAATCAAACTTGTTCTGCAGTGAGTTTGGAAACAACGGTTCCTTTGGAACCTGTTGCCATCAATTCTGATAGACTTGACTTCCTTGCCAACTCTTTCCTAACAGATGGTACTCCATCTTTAATGGCCCCTACAATTACCACTCATGCCTCTTCGTCCTGCTCTTCATCCAATGCAGTACCGAATGCTCAGCTTATTTATACATTTCTTGATTGGTTCAATCCGCGCGTCCCAATATTCAATCGTTGTGCTCTGATTCGCAATCTGGAAACCCTACCTCCTTGCCTAATTCACATCATGTGTGCATTGGCATGTACTTTTTCTCAACTTGATGGTTTATCTACCTACAATGCTGGTGACCAGCACTACTTTGCTGCAAAAAATGCACTGGATGATGAGCTAGAGCTTCCCACCCCTTGGATCATAGCTACCACCATTCTATTGGCTTACTACTCTGCAGGCTCAGGTCGAGGCACTTCTTCCACACTGTTCATTGCTGCTGGACTTCGTATTGCACAGTTGATTAGACTGGACAAAAAAGCCAAACCGTCAAATGACTCCCAGGAATCAACTGAGGAGCGAGATTTTTATTGTCGTCTTTGGTCCCAACTAATTGAGGCCGACTTTTATTTTGCCTTTTCCACCAGTATGCCTTTTTTGATTAATGATAATTTGCAAAAGCGTGTTTGCTCACTCGAGACTCGGTCGAGTGTTTTACCAGATATGTTGACAAATACTACACCGACCAATGGTACATCTGCTTCAGGCATACTGTCTGATGAATCGTTGGCTTGGTTTGATTATTCTGCCAACGACACCCAACCATTTCAGATTCCATCTCAAATTGGCCAATCTTGCGGCGAAACAAATGTATGGACTCAAATGGCTAAGCTGCAAGGGTTGGCACGCCGAGTGATTTTGTTTTTTCGTGCTACAAGTTCTAATTCAGAATGTGCCTCTAAAATGGATCCAAAGACAGAAGCTTTGGAACGTACATCACTTGATCTAGCAATGCAGGCATACTATAATCAGCTTCCTTTTGAGATGAAGGCAATTTCAAACGAGTACAGTATGGACCCATTATCCATTTCTCCACCCTCGTGGCGCATTGCTTACTTGCAGTGTCTAACTAATTTTATTCAGATATGTATACACTCGTCGATAATTCCTAAATTAACCGAGTCTTCAGGACAGGTACAAATCCCAGCTACACACCCTGCCATCATCAAGACTCGTAATCTTGCATATCATCTTTCAGACCTTTTTAAAAAATTCCTCGAAACAAATCCTTTTTTCCATCACGTTCCGCCCTTTATTGGTCGCATCATTTATCATACTGCATTGGTCTATGTATTGCTTATGCGATGTACTGATGCCAATGTAGTAGAGCTGAATGGGTTTGTAGATATGAGTGTTCAGGCTCTGAAAAATATGGGCACTTGGTATTTGCCATGCATTCACGAGGCCAAAGTTGTGGAAACCTTTAGAGCATTTCCATTTAGATCAATCAAAACCTCCCAATGTCCCAAAATGTGATGTTGTCCAACTTCATATTGTATTGGCATTGGAATATCTGCTGATCAATTCAACTTTGTGACACTAGCAGATGGTGTCTCACACATGGTGCTTTTCTTGTCATCAAGCTATTTACAGTCATGCTCACGTAAAATGAAACCTGTATTTATCTTGCAGTGATTGTCTTGCTTTGAAATAGACTGGTTAATATTCATTTGCTTGATATAAATTTATGTAAATTGACCTGGATAAACATTTAAGCACAGCATCCGTCATATGACACTCACACGATCAGGCTATAATTTTAAACAGAAATTGTCCTCACTTGATAGTCATATTGTACAATCACCAAGTTTGAAACCAGATTCGGCTGTTCCGATGGTGTCAACCAAACTCTACAATTTAGTTGAAAAAAAACAAAGACTGCGCATTTTGGTAATCCAACAGTTGTTTTCCTGCCACTACACAATGTCATTTGGATAAAAGGAGACTCGGTAGAAAACATTCGTCTAGTTGCTTTACACAAATAAGCACAAAAAAGATTAGCGAGTTTTGCCAAGCAATTTACAAGCTATAATGCTGACCAGTAAATTTAGTGGAAACTAATATTAGTCATTCCATGAGACTGGCTCCCTGATTTGGTGTTCCATCTCACGCGAATGACTGAAATTCGAAGCTTTGCTTAGTAAGAATATGGGTTTAATGCGCGTGACAATCCCTACTTTTAGCACTGCAATGAAGATGATAGATTATACCACTTGCTAATATTGTTATGCACCATGACACCATATCTTGCCATCCATTCAATGATGGGTTTACAATACAAATGATGGGTTTACAATAAAAATGACTCAAACCATTGGCTGATTTCGACTTGGCAAGTTTTTCAAATATCAGTTGTAAAATTGACTGCTCCATCACTAGCTCAAATCCAGCATTTGCATTCTGGCTGTATTGAATTGCTTTAAAAATGAACCAAGTTTGCACTTTAAAATTTTAATGATACTTTTTTGACATCAACTGATCAGGGCTAGTAGATCTTGCAAATAATCAGGGTTGCTAAACAAGGCTTTATCAAATTATCCAATATACACAATAGCTTTGAAGATACCCAGTTTTTAAGCATACCCAAAGCACACATACTGGAATTTTTTGGTACATCAGTTCATTTAAAATAGGTTCAAATTCAGTCATTTACAAAGTCCAGCAAGGCCTGAACTGCTGGAAAATAGAGCATAATATAGCAAGTGTATGATTGAATAAAAATGATCATTTTAAGCAGTCATGGCTGCTGGGGGCTCATGAATATGGTTTATCGTCTGACACTAGACTGAAATAAGATGTATTTGGAAGAAAAAATAAGCTAAAGCTTTGAGATATCAGATTTCAGGCCCCGGAAAAAACCCAAATGAGTTTGCATTTTCCTCCCTTTTTGTCAACTTACCCAACACAGCTGTGAATGAATTTACAGTTTCAGACATACAGATGGGAACAAGGATGAAGGGATATACTGATGAGCACCCACCCTTTCGGCTTGTCATACACATGAGCATTTAAATTTGCAGGTTTGACCAGCCAAATTAGCCCTCCCGGAAAGTTGTGCAATAACCTCCCTTTAATTTTTTTTAACTTGCTTCTATTGAAGCTGTGTTACTGATTCCCCACCGCCCCAATCTTTATAAGCTATATATAAAAGATTGATATCTGTAATAGATTTTCCAATTGAAAGTGTAAACTTGGTGATACTCCACTATTTGGTCCTTTACTGTACCATCTATATCTTGATCACATTTGACTATCAGTGCAGATCTTGTTTGATCTCATACTTTTGGTTGTTGTAAATCTTTGATCTTGTACCTTTGTGAATCCTAATTGTGTTCATAAAAGTGAGTCTAATTTACTTGGTCCGTTTATGCTTGACTTTGTCTTGAGCCGTTATCAGATAGCTCACCAATACTTTTGTCTAGATTTTCAAAAGCAAGCGACCAAGTATAACTGATTTCAAACTTGGCATTAATAGTTTGTAGTTCAAGGGAAAACAAAGCAAGTTCATATTTGTTTGGCTGCTCAACTTTTACTCATCCAAGTCATTCATATCGTACCCAAGTTGAAGGAATCGCCGTATACACAGCCCATTGACTTTTCAACGCAAAAAATAAATTTCAGGCTTGCTCAAGATGCATCCCACCAACCACGACTACAACCATAACCCCGACACTCCGACTAATCCATGGTTTGAACAGGAACGGCAAAATAGAGCCCATCAAACACCACAAGAGCATTACAGCTACAATGGACGTTTGGACCACGCAGAGTCTCGTGAAATCAGGCGCAAGGCATCTCATTCCGCCATTGAACGTCGTCGTCGTGAACGCATCAACGAGAGGATTGCCGAAATGAAAGCTATGCTGCCATCGTGTGCTGACAAGGTTGGGCTTCATAAATTAACCATTCTTGAAGAAAGCGCCGAGTATATCATGCATTTGAAAGAGCAAATCCGGATTTTGAAAATGGGACTGAATCAATCGGCTGCAGGAAAAGTGCCCGTTTTTACCACCGATTCAGAGCCATTCAGCATAAATCGACAGGTCGAGTGTTCTTGTAATTCCACAGGCTTTGAGCCTTATATGAACACTCGTATTAAGCTCGAGGATGGCAATACAGTTGCTCATGATCAGCGCTTGAAAGAGTTTTCTGATCAGTCACATCTGATCAGTCCATCCTTCACATCAAACAATCCTCAGCATTCCTATACGACACGTAGACACACTCCGCCAGTAGATGCTGCTGTGACGGTTAGTGTGCAATCCCCTTCTACCGATCATCAAGTATTTTCTTTGCCTCCACCACCCACGTTTGGCGACTATCTTGCTGTGTCAAATCCAATGATGGGCAGTACCAGTACTACAAAAGTATACAGCACGAATCAATATGCGTCAGCTTACAGCCCCACAGAAGAAATCATGTCTCTCGACACCATACTGTCATAAATCCATTTGTACCAATGTAATCTTCTACTATGTGCACCACTAAATACTGTTCTTTTCTATTCTCAAACTGTCAAAAACAAAACAACCCTTGTCTATTAAAATACTACTTTATACTAATGTGCTACTGTTGGCTTGCTAATTTTGGATCTTGCCAACTATTATCACGAGTCTATACAGCTTGGCTCGGCGTCAAGATCATGGCGCATTATTTATAACCTGCTTGTGTAAAATAAAACACTTTTTACATGTATCTCAATGAATGTCTTTTTGAGTGGACAATGGCTGAATATTCGTTGCGCATTTTTAGAAACTGACTACACTGCTTTTTCCAAGCACAATGATTATATGATGTACACAATCAAGTTATAGTTTTGAACTTACGGTTTTTTTGGCATAGCCATGCATTGTGGAACTGCCAAGTTTGAAATTAAATCCATTCATTGTCATCCAGATATTGGGTTCTGATGCCACCAAACTCTACTTGTATCCCAATATCAGATACGTTCGCGTTCCAGTTCAAGAAAACAAAACTGCAAGTCACAAGAATGCAACTCTTGTTTCCACTCCAGTCATCCAATATTTACCTTGGTCTTTGATTAGTAGGAAACAAGTGTTGTGAAACTGGGTAGGTGAGGTTTACTGGAATGACAATGTAAACATTTGTCCAGCTGTTTTACACAAGTAGGCGCAACAGAAAAATCGGAATTTGAAAAACAATATTGTCTAGTGAATTGGCACTCGATGTTTTATGAAACCGGCTGTTTGTTATACTCTGACACCCCGTTTAGTGTTCCACTTTATCTAAATACAGCGACAACGACGAAAAAAACAAACATTTGGTAGTTGTCTTCAAGTACACCATTAACCCTAACCCCTCAGAAAAAATTTAAACTGTTTTTCAAATACCATGAATCGAACAAGCCCTGATGTTCGTGTTTTGCTCACTTGTGACATAACAAGCAATCAAGCATGGTAGTACACGTGGTGTTTAAGGGTGGGTTTGACAATGGCTCTCGATCTTGCAACAAGCTACTCATCTTTTCGTCTTTAGCTTTAAATTCATTTTGCTTAATTTTCATTATAGTATTTATCCATCCTTACAGCATATCTTCTAAGCCGAGTCATGGGTTTTACCGCATAGCCAAAGTGCTTGACAAAAGCATTTCCGACATTAGACCAGGAGAGCGTTCCAGCTAATATCGATGCTTACCAAGCCAATAATTTTTAATGGGAAACTTGAATGATAGCTGCTCCGACCAGCGAGAAAAAATCGAGAATGAATGAAAGGCCTCGTGGTATTCACTGTGAATCAACTGTAAATGAAAAAATTGGCCGACCTATCCGTCAGACACCTTTGCTTACTATTGAATTACAGTACGTATGTACTGCTTTGGCAGGTCGGAAATACTGAAAGTAAACCATATGAATTGATCATATGATCTTTTAAATCTCTATGAGATGAAAAGTACCCAGCCTTGCATGTCAGCAGTTCACTTGTAAACTATGCTTCGCCGAGGTTTGCCGAGCAATACATTTACCCCTATATTTGTAATAGTTTGCAATATCGATGTACATTGCTCCTGAGTTTAATGTTTAAAGGCTTGGCTCTGATTGGTCAGAGTTGTTGTTAAATATTGATAATATGCTGGATTAGGGGCTAAGCGAGACTAGCATGCTTTTGTGTTTGCGCAGTTAAACAAGTTGAAATCTCGGTCTACATTTAATATTTCAGAAATCTATAAATATCGACACCAGTCTACACCATTTTGAACCAGTACACCCAAACAATCATGCGAACCGTACTTGCCATTCTAGCTGTCGTTGCATTGGTCGGTGCTCATCCAACCTTGGAGTCCGCGAATACCGAAAATCTCGACAATGTAAATATAGTTGCGAGATCTACTTCAGCCGTACCAGCCAGTCTTGTTGATGATTTTAAAAAGTACATGATGTACTCTGCTGCTGCATGTACGTTTATTCTTCCAACCATTGATGTGATGCCACGGTAATTAATTTAAATGTGTAAACAATAGACTGTGACTCAGTTATTGTGCGACAACAGTGGAGCTGTGATACCTACTGCGCCTCCGCTTCTTCAAACACCCAAGTCGTTGAAGTTTTTGGTGATGGCGAGAGTGGGGTTGGGTATGTCGTTGCTTTGGATTAATGCTACTGTATGTGTATAGCTGCTTATCGTCTATCGATATAGGTTTCTTGGCGTTCAAAGTTCCGCCAAAATCATAGTTGCTGCGTTCCGTGGATCAAATGATGCAGGAGATTGGAGTATAAATCTCAACTTTATTCTAAAACCTGCTGCTTGGCTGAGTACTGCTTGGGGTTCATCTAGCTCTGTCAGGTTCATGAATGGAAGCAATTTTCAAGCTCCAAACAATGCCAAGGTATGTTGGTATATAATTTGAAATTCAGTTGATAATGTAATCAACCCTAATCATTTAAATCTCAATAACTAGGTTCATGCAGGCTTTCAGAACAGCTACATGGTTGCACGCGAAGAAGTCCTGACTGTCATTCAGCAAACCGTGGCCAAGTATCCCGATTACCAAATCATCTTCACAGGCCACTCTCTTGGAGCTGCAGTAGCCAGTCTTGCTGCAGTAGACTACATTGATAAAAATCCTTCCGACTCTTCCAAAGTATCATTGTATACATACGGGTCTCCTCGTATTGGAAACAAGGCCTTTGCTGATTGGTATTCGACTATTCCATTTCGGGGATTGTTCCGTATCACCCGTACTAAAGACCCTGTTCCTCATTTACCACCACAAGCTTTCACATACCGCCATTTTAAACAAGAGTACCTAATTGATGCCGACGGAAACACCAAATCATGTACCAACAATGGTGATGCCGGCGAAACTAGCGATTGTGCCGACGTTGATTATTTCCCACCTCAAATTCGACAACATCTTACTGGCTACTACTATCCATCGTAAGTCATGATTTCATTACACAATTGTAGGTTATAGAATGGTTTGCTCATTTCATTATTTTTGTAGGGGATGTCTCAAGGAAGCCTAGATACTTTATATAATTGAATATTACATTGAATATTACATTGAATCCATTCATGTTTTCGAGTTTGGTTGGGAGTAGATTTACATTTGGATTTTTTTCAACATATAGTAGATATTCGCGTTTACCGAACAGTTTGTCCGTTGACTTTTGGTATTGACAAGAATTAGCAATGATGTACCGACAACAGCTCATTCGACAATGCATGCCGTTTAAACATAGCAAGTTAATGAATAGGATAGTAACAGGAACACATACTCTTCATCCAATAGCTACCAACTATACTCGCAATGCACAGTCGACTATTCTTGCTTGTTTAGCTTGCCCACAATCAATTAGAACTTACAGTTCATATCCTGCTCCAACAGCACATTCTGAAGGTCCGTCAAAGTCCAAAGGTGCGGTGGATAGATTTAGTGAATTATGGATTCGATTGTGTATGAATCGTTATTCTATATTTTGTGATATTTAAAGCCGTGTCTGCAGCCAGACCATTCCAATCCAGTCCTGACATGTTTATACAATAACCTGGTGTATAAATATACAGACGGTTCAGCCGGAGAGAGTCGCAAAAAGGTCACAATCACTGCCCTGCGCAAGTTGTACAACACAAAGACTCCCATTACAGTCATGACAGCACACGATTATCCAACTGGGTTGCTTGTTGAGCGCGCTGGATTTGATATCTGTTTGGTTGGAGATTCACTTGCTATGGTCGGCTTGGGATACGAATCTACCAACAAAATCACTTTTGAGGTATGCAGGTTTTAATCTATTCATGCTGATTTATTGAGAGTTGTTTGACTTGATTGTCTAATGTCTATTTTGGGAATTATAAACTTGATGACATTGCACTCATGGGCTGCAATTTTTATAGGACATGATTCACCATACTCGGGCAGTGGCTAGAAGCTCAAAGTGCGCATTTCTAGTAGGCGATATGCCATTCGGCACATATGAAGTCAGTCCTGAAGTTGCTCTTAAGAATGCCATTCGATATATTCATGAAGGAAATGTAGAGGCAGTAAAGCTTGAAGGTGGGATTGAGCTCAAGGACACGATCAAGCGACTGACCGATGTGGGTATTCCAGTTATGGGTCATATTGGTCTTACTCCACAGCGTCAGACATCATTGGGTGGATTCAAAGTGCAAGGAAAGACATTGGACAAGGTAGTAATGATCTCAGCTTGGATGATGAACACGACTGTAAAGCAACTGAATTGATTTGGTGTATTCTATCAAAATGTAAATACATTTAGGCGCAGAAAATGTTGCAGGATGCATTGGCACTACAAGATGCGGGATGCTTCTCTATTGTACTCGAAGCAATACCATACCCGGTGGCCAAGTTCATTACCGATCAACTTAGTATTCCTACAATTGGAATTGGCGCTGGACCCGATGTATCTGGTCAAGTCCTTGTGATGATGGATATTCTTGGGATATACGATAAACTTTCACCAAAGTAAGCGATATTCCGTGTCTTGAAATCTGAGCAATAGAATTGATACATTTGTTTGCTAGGTTTTCAAAAGTGTATGCCAATATTGGCGAGCAGGCGGTTACTGGATTATCAACATTTATTGACGATGTCCGTGGAAGCAAATTTCCTGTAATAGGACTGCATACATACAAGATGGCTGCAAGTGAGGAGGAGCGATTCAAGGAATGGGTTGCTATTTACGAGTCGTCGATTAAAAGCTAGTTGCTATCATGCTCAATGAGTTTCTATGTAATTTTATAGTGAATCAATCGGTTGCAATGTACAGCTACTTGAGCTACAATGGATTGGGTCGATACTACTGATCTAATTACAAAGTTGGTTATATTTCTTGCCAATTCAAAAATATAACCAACACATGCCTGTAAGCCATCGTTTACCACTATTGAACTGGATTGCTATCGACATGCTCTTATGTTCAGCCAGAAGCTCAGCTTAATATACAATTCCTGGATTTATCAACTGACAATCGTTATACCTGTGAAACAATTACTTTTGAACTGGTTGTATACAGCGCTACCAAATTTTATGGAAAGCAAACCTTGCTGGTATAACCAACATTGTGCCCGCAGACAAGCAGGCATATGACTGGCGCTTCAAGTTTACATGCACAAAGTGCCGAGAGCCTACAGATAGCATCGTCAATGTGAATGGCACAGTACGTCATAGTTGTCCTACTGTTGCTTCACGACATGGTTGATATCTAATTAAAAATACTGCATGCTAACAGACCTGATGTGATTTGCCATTAGGAGCTGATTGAAATGACAAATAGTCGAGGATCTACCAACTTGATGATGAGGTGCAAGTTCTGTAAAGCAGAAGGATCTGTTGGTGAGTCCACTATTGCCCATATTAGCTCGAGGTTTACATGAATGTCATGCAATCTAATATTCAATCGATACTATTCATTCCTTTTGAATTAGATCTGGAACTTGATACTCTTAAACCATATACTCTTGAGCAGAGTGGTAAATTTGGACCTTTGATTATTATTGAAGGCCGTGGATGGGAACCCACTGAGTGGATTCCAGCTGTGAGTAGTATGAACTATTCCCATCAGTGTATAGATCACAACTATGCTGGTATTGACTTTGAATCTTGGTTTGTTATAGGATGGTTTTAAAGCAGAAGGAGCCGAGACTGGAACCAAGTTTGAGGATATCGATCTAGCAGATCGAGAATGGTCAGAATATGATGAAAAGGCAGGAGAAGCAGTTGAGATCTTGGAAATAGAATCCAACGTAATCAAGGCCAAATAAATTGTTGGATAAGCTGCATAGTCTGTTGTATTTGATGGTCACTAGTTTCAATTCTATGTGAATACACGGCTGTGATGATTAAACCATCAAGCAAATACCAGTTTGAGGTTTGCATTGCCAAGTCTGTCTAGATTGCATCTTTGATACAAGACGAACAGATGGTGATTGTCATTCGACACAAAACAGGCTGTGCTGATTGTGGCTAGTTGTAAACCCCTCGAGTGAATGCCCAATACTGCATTTATGAATAAATATCGTAGCATCTTCCACTCCTAATTAATATCTTCACTCTGCAAAACATCATGCCACTGGTTGAAACTGCATTTGTATGTATTTATATGTATTTGTATGGATTTGATATTGATACCGTAGTTATATGAGTGGAGTTGATTATTAAATCTGTGTTTCAATCGCACAATGAATGGCAATTCAAACCAACTAGCAAGTTGTTGATGCTTTTACTGACAAGGCATTTGCTGGGAATCCAGCAGCAGTTATGATTCTTGAAAAGTTTCCTGCAGATGATATTCTTTTCAAGATTTCCAGGTAATAAATACGATCTAATATTATGGCATTGGAGTAGTGACCAACATTTTCATTCAAGAGAATTTAATCTGTCAGAAACTGCATTCATTGTACCCAAATATGAGGGAAGCACTCACGAGTTTCATCTGCGCTGGTTTACACCTACTGCAGAGGTTCCTTTGTGTGGACATGCAACATTGGCTTCATCCCATGTACTGTTTACTCAAATGACTGAAAAACAGCGACAATCTGGTCCACTACGCTTCCATACTCTTTCAGGAGAGTTGTCGGTTGAATTCAAGACGGCTGCTCCCGAGAAACTATCAACACGAAATGAGATGTCGTTGCCCGAGCTGGTCATGACTCCAGATTTGAGCATTGATCGTAATGTTCTATGCGATGCATTTGGCATTACTGAAAATCAAATTCTGTTTGTGGGAAGCTGCCATTGGGGTGTATTGGTAGAGATTGATGCATCTACTACACCTCTTCATGCAATCAAACCTAATTTTAAAGCAATCGCTTCAGTGAATGCTTCGGCTATTTTACTGGCTACTCAATGCGGTACTGATCTTCATGGAGAATATGACTTTATTTCTCGAATGTTTGCACCAAATCTAGGTGTAAATGAGGATCCAGTATGCGGTAGTGCACACTCTGTTCTTGCACATTACTATGCCAACAAGTTGAAGAAATCAGAGTTCAAGGCATTTCAAGCAAGTGCTCGTGGTGGTGAGATTCATGTTGTGTATGACGCTGTAGCTGGTCGTGTTCGTATTGCTGGAGATGCAGTAACTGTCAGCAAGGGAGTTATATATATGTGATTCTATGATATGGAAATAAACAGTCCATTGTTTCCTGGTCATCATCCTACATACACTATATTATAGCATCTTTCTTACCCTTGGCGACATGCTTTGTCAGCACGCAGTTCGCGAATCATCCTATTATTCGACTCTCAAATACTCGTTGTTTGCAAGGCACACTTTGAAGTAAATTTGTTTTTCATTAATAGTGCTGCTTATGAGGACTGGATCTTCAAAAGTATTATTAGACAATCCACATTTACAACCGTATTCACGTAAATGAAACACTTTTCTGTATTGATCTCGTAACGACTCTGGTCGTCAGACTTGCTAGAGATCGATAGAAAGTGATTTGAATTTCAAAGAAAACTAATGGGCATGTTTGATTTGCTGCTATTTAGTATCTATCGAGACACCATATATATTATGGTATGTATCAACTTGGCTGTTATAGTCAATTTCATGCAGGTTTGAAAAGATGCTTATGGCTACAGAAATGAAGATTCTATTATTCATAAATTTGTTTATGGCCAGGAATCTCCTTGGCTTGCTATCAATGCCTTTTCAAGCACTGGCATGGATAGACAAATGGATTTATCACTTACAAATCCTACTAAGGAGTGGTCAATAGAAACTGTATTTTTAAATATCTCTTGCACATTCTCAGCCAATACATTCAGACAATTATGATGGTCAGGTCGATGCTAAAGCCATAAAAACAATTATTAAGCTTTTGAGCTACTTTTAAAATGCTGCAGCATTACTGAATAATAGCCATAAAGTTCTTATGGCAGTAATTTCCAAGATTTGGCGAGTATGAAATTTTGTAAAACAATCTACAACAATGATCTTGTTTTGATTCATTCAAAAACATGATTTTTAAACTTTCATTTTCTCTCCACAACTAGAATCACTAGTATACGGCTTTCAATATGCGGGGTCCTAAGGGGGATCGTAAATGTAGTAAAGGAAAAAATGTGATTAGCAGCCAAAGAAATACGTCTACTGAAATACACCAAGAAAAGGAATTTAATACAGTAAAAAGCAGCTGCTCCAGTGAAAGTATGCAAAGGGGTGATAATACCAATAGCAATTTTGCGGCATCTACTTCACCAACTGCATCTGCATTCGCGAGTATTTTTTCAGATATTTCTCGATTCTCCAGAACCGACAAACTGTCTAGTCCTAGGGGACATACTAGCTCTGATTCTGAACAACATATTCCAGTATATCACGAGAGGTATCTATTTCATGAAATGTCTTACTATCCAATTTGAGCAGTGTCTGCACACATCTTTCCATGGCACATTTTGACCCACTTTTTGGTTTCAAATGCTTGCTATTTTAATATATGCAACTTTTTGGTAGACGCCTTGTTTTACCATATCAAATTATATACTGTTTTTTGCTAGTCATTTTACTCGGCTTTTTGTATTCTTTTAATCCAACTCACCATCTTTATACCAATATATACACATGCATTCATTTGTTAACTTGATCACCATATATTTTCATAATATTTTAATCTACACAATTGCGTTAATCGAATCTTTAAAATATGGTGTATAAAGAAAACGGCAATTAAATCTCAGCAGAGCCAGGGAAAAAATTTACGATGTGAACTTGGTTAGTGCCCAGATGCCACACTACGAGCCTTTGCTGGATGCAAATTTGCAAGACTATTTTAATAGTCCAAATACTCGAAATCACTTGATCCGGCTAGGTTTGGTAAGTGTATTCGACTTTCAAACACAAACGCGAAATGTTAACATGGCATTTTATAATTGCATCAACCTCGACTACAACTCTTTTTAGATTGATGAAGAGGGAAATATTGTAAGTGCCAAGCTATTCAAGTACAGTCAAATCCAGTTGGACAAAAAGGAATATGAGGATGTGTTTCGCACTAGGCAAATAGAGCGCGAGATTGACAGAGACATCGAGGTAAGCCAATACCAACTATTGGTGCTAGAAATGTTTCATCATTTATAAAACACTACTCATTTAATAACTTTTGATATATTTTAGTTGGCCATTCATAAACATTCAATGACGCAACATCTACGTACCAATCGGATTGGCAGAGTATGTGCATTGCCAAGTTATACAGATCGATAGTCATATATTCAAATGCAATATATTGACCATAATTGTGTGCAAATGTATTGAATATCACAAATTTGAATTTCAAATAGACGGATGAAAATCCTTCCCCTTTCCCAAACTTTTTCCAGCATTTTCCAATATCAATGCATACAACGGCATTGCTATATCTGGAATCATCTCATTCGAAATTAAAGGCCGAACATATATTTTTGAAAAGATTACAAAGCCAGTCATTGACAAAGCTTGGTGCACTTGGGGTTACATCGGCAGAGGTCGAGGCACGTCTCAAAATAGTCGAAAGGAATCACAAAAAAGAGAGCGAAAAGAAAGCAATTCAATTTCGAAAAGGTCTGACAACACCTGCTCAAAAGAAACTTGATTCCAGTCGAACCTCACACGAAGCAGTCAAAAATCATCAAATAGAACACGATCACCAGCTTCCAGATATTTTCACTTTGGCAAAGCATGAATATGAAATAGGAAATACTCTCATGGCCGAAACTTACTTGCGTCAGTTGCTTTCAATTGTCAAGAAGAAATCATCATTGACTAGCAGTTTAAAACAACAAGACAACCACTCCCGTCTTGCCAACAAATCAGTTTCTATTTCTTTTGATACCATTGTTGACAAATCTTCTAACGATGAGATCAATGAGGATGCATTGAAAAAACATGAATCAACTCTTTCTGATCCAAAATGCAACGATTCATCACAGCATCGCCAGTTTGTTCGTCCAAAAAGTGCACGTCCATCTCGTAATTCAACATTCCCTTCATCCACAGCGTTTTCAGATTGCGAAAGTGAGGGTGACACTGATTTTGATTTACATTCAATCAATAATCTCGATACTGAGTTGTCTAGAAATGCATCTCAACAAGACGACTCGACTGATTTAGGTTCTTTTAAAAATGTCGATTCCACTCCTGAAATCAAAAGTATATCTCATATGACTCCAAGGGAAAGCGTGAAAATACTCATTCACGAAGATCCTGCTGTTGGCAGTGTGTTTAAAACTATAGATTCTTCTGACAATACAAACAACAAGGATGTATCTAGTGACTCGGAACACTATGAGCCAGTGGTTCATCTTGATAGTGGGTCTGTCAAAGAAGATCATGAGAGAATCATCATAGAATCTTGTGACAGCCATATCTCTGAGCATAGTATCGAGACTCGACAGCAAAACATTTCAAACCTGTCTGGTTTAAAGCATGATGTATATAGTCATGATCAGGACCATGAAATTATAGAGCATCCCGTTGAATCAAATTTGGACTGCTTAGAAGATTCTAACATAAACAATGCTGCTATTGATCAACAGTTTCAGCAAGATGCTTCAAAGTCTGCAAATAGTCATGAAGCGGTAGCTATAGACCGTTCACGTATTCATTCAGAGTCCTCCGAGTATGACATATTACACTATCCAAAGCTTCATCATGATGTTCATGCTTCGCAGTCAAGAAATGTATCTGAGTGGGTTCTAGTGGAGCAAGACCATTTGGAAGACTACACGCACGATGATTGTTTCCAAGAAAACTTTGACGATAAAGCTAATTTAAAAACCAACAAAGCTGTACAACCGCAAGAAAAATCAACTAATGTGTTGCATTCAGAAACCAATATATATGAACACCAAAATGACAATCATACTCAATCTAAAATCATGCATAGTGTATCAGATACTGCAAATGGTTTGGCTACTGAGCTTGATTTTGATGAATATTCGCAAAATAAGCCAAATCCAGAAGATTCAAAGTCGGATGAAAATAATCAGCACAGCAAATCTACTTATTCAGATGACGAGTTTGATTATAAAAAAGAGTATGTTGATGAGCAGCAAGCACAACTACTAACAAAAGCTTCTGATTTTCATATAGGAAAAACTGAAATTGAAGCTGACCACTGTACAGGCGAAGCCTGGAAAAGGCAAGATCACAGTACTGTTAATGGAGATCAACACTCTGATAAAAAACTAGAATGTGCATCAAATCATAAAATATCAATTGATCAGATATCAAATCGTAGCAATAACAATGTTTCAAAGCATCAGCAATTTCAAGCAAAACAAGGGATTTCAAAAAGTGGTCTAATTAGTCGATCTTCAAGCACATCTCATCCACTAAATAAAGATGCCAAAAATAAAATAGTATACAGATCAGCAGCACTTTACACTCCCAAGATCAAAGAAGTTTCTAACTTGAAAAATCCACTCAGCAATTCAGCGAGGAATCAAAACACACATGGATCAATGTCGCTTGATAAAGCCAAAAACACTGCATTGCCTGAAAGTGCACCGATATCTCGTGTATCTAGTGCTCATAACGAATTGCATCATTCCACTAAAAAAGTCAGCACGCACGGATCAATGTCGCTTGATAAAGCCAAAAACACTGTGCTGCCTGAAAGTGCACCGATATCTCGTGCGTCTAGTGCTCGGTACATCTTGACATCGGCAGAGAAAATATACAGTCGAACTACTTCAAAAAGCAATTTAAAACAAAATGGTACCACCACCAAGTCCCAGATACGTGCTAGTGAGCATGCTTTACACAAGTCCGTTAGTAGTTGTAGTACAAAAGACTTTGTTCATGCAGAAAATATAGTGACACCACAGCATCATAGTAATACGAATGACTATCATGCACAGAGTACAATTGAATCCGATATTGGTCAAGTCGGTCATATTCATGATGCGATTGCTCATCACAGCGAGATTACACATGGTCATAAAGACGAGCATACCCATCACGATTCTTTGTCAAAACCTTTTGATTTTCAGCAGACATCGCATTCTCATAATTATCAGGATGTAGCAGAATCACCCAAAGTCAGTGCACTTTATCAAGAAAAACTCGTACCTGAAGTAGTTCATATTTCCTCAATTAAACGTAACGTACATCAAGATAAAGAAACCCTTATTCCAGATATCAATCAAGACTGCAAGTCAGAGCAGACAAGAGACCATCACAAAATCAATTCCAATCAACACCTTGCTGAACATCAAAGTTTTCAAAGTATTTCAGAGACCTGCGTGTAACACCATCGTTCCTGACGATTTCACATCCTCTGATATACGTGATAAATGCTTAAATAATGATACATATTGTTTTTGCTAAAGCGAAAGCATAGTTTTAACAAGGATGTGACAATAGCGTTGAAATTTAAAATGAATCAATAAAATCAAACATAGTAGGTATAGGTTTGAGTATGTTTTAATGCTGTCAGAATACTTGAGATGCAATACAAAATTGTAAGTTGAGATTTGAATTATGGTGATATGCCAGAGTAGCCCATTCCGCGACCTCGGCCAAATCCTTGCCTAGAACCTCGCATGCCTCGACCTCGAAAACCACTCTGATTACCTCGCGAAAAGACAGGCTGATGCTGTTTAAGCCAATGAAAAGGTGTATGATTTGTATTGGACTGTCTGCTATTTGAAGATGGTCTTCGTGCTATTTTTCCGGCCTTGATCTCTTGCTCCACTCGTCTTCGCCTACTTGACATGGGCCGTCTAGAGGATGGAGTGAATTCCCTCCCGCCTCGTGCAAGCACAATGGGATCCACGACATGCCCTTTCTTGTTAATAGTTATAACAGTCCCTTTAGATATAGAACTCTATGTTTGATACACAAATCTCAACCTCAGTATGCACAATACGATTTGATATGAATGATGATAAAACAAAAGCTTACAGGCAATACAGATTCTTTAAGAATATCGACAGTTGAAATCATGATGGTTTCGAATGCCGATCGCAACAAGGCATCCTGTTCACTAATTCAAATAAACTGATATTAAAACATGGATTTCATCAGTCTTGAACATCCAAGACGGACATACTCTGAAACTTCAAACACTCGAGGATCAGCAACGATAAGATCTTGCTGAATAGAATCTATTTGCACATGAGCAAGTGGATGAGCAGAAAACAGACGAAAAAGAAGAGAGTTGTGGTCTACATTCATATCCGAACTGCAGTTATCTTGATGACTGGGTAAACTCATTGACAAGAGTCGTTCAGGATTGATTTGTGAAGCAGTCGAGTTGCAGTCTTCCATGTCCAAGTTGGATTCCATCAAAACATTCAACCGTTCTAGTGCTAACCTTCCTTCACATTCCAGCAGTGGATCAACTGGCTCATTACTCATTATTCCGTTTGAATTGCAAGTCTTTTGCAATGTGAGTTTGGCCATTGCAACTTGACAGCTTTAAATATATTTCTTTAGAATTTTCTTTTTGGTTGAAAGTTTGAAGATTTCAAGGATGGATTTGAGTGTCAATGCAAAGGTATTGTTGCTCGCATGCATTGAACTATTAAATAGAAACTTTAAATTAATTAAAATGTACGATAGGTTGATATGATTAAGAAATTGTCGGATATTAATCCAGACTTGGCAGAGAGTGGGCCGATGCTTATCGAGTTTGTGCAGGCGATGCTCGCTAATGGAAAACATCAAAACCATGTCAGAACACAACTGGAAGAAATACTGACTGCTGAGGAAGCATCTGCATTTTCCATCTGGCTGTTTGAATATCTTGGTCAGAGTGTTGCAGTTGAGCAGACTGGTCGAGTTACGTTTGATATGGACGTAGATTCAGACGATACGATTACTGCTTCAAATCAAACATCTGCTGTATCGACCAAATCAACTACTTCTGCAAGATTCCCGACTTCTTCTAGATTACTGAGTATGGCTTTTAAACAGGCCACAGCTTCTACTCAACCGTCTGCTGTTCAATCTCATGCCAACAAGAGTCCGCTTTCAAATTCTACTAAAATGGACGCTAGGCATTCTTTCGAGTCTGTAGATAATCACTTTGATCAAATAGAGCATCAAAAACTAAATCAGACAAGATTGGGTTCTAAGCGATCTAGTCATACCAAGTCAGATGTATTGTCTAGACTTGGCAGTCTTGACAGAGCTCATAAATCCAATCCCAAAAAAGAGTTGCGTTCGGATCGTGTAGCTCATAGAGCAAGCGAGTATTTAAATGCAATCACTGGTTCAGGCTGCAACAAAAAGGTTGGCATTTCAAAGTTGGATATTCAATCTCGATTGGGTAAAGACAAGACTGAATCCAACATACAGCAAGCAGAGTTCAAAGTCAACAAAATTATTTGGGATCTTCCCAATGAAAACAAGTCGAACAGTTCTGATATGGTTGCTGATTCGAGTGATATGGATCGTGATAATAATCAGTTCGACAAGCGTTCCCACACACAATCATTTTACAATTCCAGAGACAACATGAATAACAAATCTGCTAGCTTGATGCAGGCTACACACGAAAATCACTATATGTTATCGGCAGATCGAAGTCGAGTAGTTCCGATAGCTCAACGTAAATCCGTGCCGTTTGCGCTTGCTGACGCGGCCAACACGAGATGCAAATACTTTCCTACTTGTGGGCGTGGTGATACGTGTGCATACTTTCATCCTACTCAACCGTGTGTATGGTATCCCAATTGTCCAGATGGACCTAATTGCATGTTTCTTCATCCAGCTGCATCCACAATTGACTCTGCATTGAGGGAAGGGCTATCCATAGCCAGATCAGGATCCATATCATCCACAGACAATGAGATGATTGCTAATCCTCATATGTGCAGGTTTCAAGACAAATGTCTGCGTCCAAACTGTCGTTTAGCCCATCCAAGTCCAGCCAGTATCGCTGCGACTAAAACTCAATGTAGAAACTATCCTGATTGCGCGGATCCCTTTTGTTTGTTTTATCATCCCATCGAGCCAGATTTGGATGCTTCGCTTGTTTATGGCGGCGAAGGCATTGAATCTAGATCTGGACGAACTGTGTTATCATCATCGGTACCAGCTTTTGGTCGTAAGCGATCTATAGTGGCAGATGGAAGTCATCTACCTCATCCTACAGGTGACACTGCAACCACCACAGCTGCATTAAAAGATTCCATACCTGGTGTTTACACCAACAACGGAAATAATTTGACCCGTACGTCTTTGGGACCAAATGGAGTTTCAAAATCTATGCAACCATCAACTAAACTATGCTGGAATGGCATAAATTGCTTGAATCGATCGTGTCGATATTCTCATACTGGTCCAGTCTTGCTTGGATGTAAAAATGTTTGGAGACGGCCAGGTTTAGAAACGACCACATCTGCAGTGGCTAAACCTGCCATCAGCCAACGGCAGTTTGCATTAGCAGATGCAGAGACGGAGCGTGTAGTGATTGGATCAGATGTTTGACGATCGCTCCAGATTAAAGCTGAAATTCTTGTTTGTGATTCTGCAACTCGTACTGCAAAATAAAAGCATGATTGGTTATTGTTTAAACAGCGAGTTCAACATCTGTATTGCAATGAATGTGTGATTGTACACGAGAAAAAACTTGGTTTTAAATATTTGATTTTGTGCATCAACGTTTATTAAAATCAATTTCTAGTAACAGTCACTCAAAACAAGTGTTTCATTTTACATAAATAGGGTTGTAGAATGAAATCCTTACGAGTTGATGGTCTTGAAAATATTAAAGCCATCATATGCAGTGCTTAATAATGTGCCAGGCATTTGTTTGTGCCAGTGAATTTCTTTTACATTATGTTGACCTTGATGAATAAACAACAATTGTGGAGGAACCTCGACTACTTTTCCTGATGCAATGGTAGTCATGGCTGCCTCTTCTTCGTCACGTTCAAGTGCAAGATCCCAAATGGTAACCTGATCGTCGGCTCCAGACGCTGCAAGAACAGATGACTCTGTGGGGTGCCAGTCAATTGATGTGATGGGTGCTTGATGCCATTTGAAGATGGCAAGTGGATCGGGAGTTCCGTTGCTAGAAGGCCATGTGCGCAAATCCCAAATGCTAAACTCTCCCGAGTCAGCACCAGATGCCAATACATGACCTGAACTTGACGTTCTACTCGTATGATGGAAAATTCAAGTATTAGTCGGTCAAAGATGATGTTTAAAATACAGCAGATTATGAATCAAGAGTAATCATGAAATAAAGATATTTCGACAAAAAAAGTGCAACTATGGGTAGATAAAATGCACTGCACTTGTCAGACAAGTGCAGTATAACCAATGCGGCGTGGAGATGTCGATTTTTAATATAGCTAACTAGCTTTGGCTGAAGCACAAGGCAAATAGAAACACCTCGGCAGCACAGAGAGCTTGTAGCGAAAGAATCAAGGCAATAATTTGTTCTAGTCAAATAAAAGCAATACACTAACCTGTTCCAGCTAATTACGTTTACGTCGGTGGTATGTGCAGCTACAGTCAGTTGTGGTTTTCTTTTATCTCTTGCATCCCAAATGCGAATGGTACCGTCAGCAGAAGAAGATGCAAACACGTTGGATTGTGAAGGGGACCATTGGATATCTTCAACAGATGAAGTATGGCCAGTAAATGGAGTTGAATCAGTAACAAACGAAGCAGGAGTCTTTGTCGTGAGGAAAATGCGACTTCTGCAATCACCAGTAAGCAAGTGACCAATCTGAACACTAGACCAGTCAATAGCGTAGCCTTCAGTAGTGCCGTGTTGTGTGATTGTGTGCATTGGAGCCAGATCTGAGGATGGAGCGAGGCCAGGCGTATCAAGAGCGAGAATATGCTGCGACAAATCATAAATATGAACTTTTCCAGTTTCTGCCATTGTCGCAGCAATGTGAACTTCTGGGTGATGCATCAAGCGAATTCGATTGATGCCGCCAACATGAGAAACCGTTCTTGACTCAAGAATGGGATCTTCATCTATGTCATCATCATCATCATCATCCATATCATCGCCACCATCATTTTTCGTCTTGTGCAATGATGACATCTTCATGACATATATCTTATTAGAGTTGACCTGATCTGCTTGAGATCCAGCCACAACATACGATGTCATGGGAAATGCAGTTCGGCCAGCACCGAGATTATCACGCGCAATGTCAAAGCTAAGGCAGGGCCATTCCACATTCATGGTATGCAGCATCTGGTAAGCAGACTGATCGGCCACCAGCACTTCATTTTCCCCAAGTTTTTGGCCAGGAAGGTATACTTGCAAAGGAGCCTCGTTTTCTTCATCTTCCTGCAAAAGATCTTTTTGCATCTGTTCATCTTAAACATCAAATGAATATAAAAAATACAAAAAATACACAAAAGTTAGCGCACATGGAATTCAAATCACAGATCAATACAGCTTGATACCTTCATCGTCACTGTCGGGTGCAATAACAACTTCTCCCTCATCGTCATCTCCCTCCATATCATCTCCCCAGTTGTCTTCGAATTCGCCCATACCCTCATCAACATTGGCAATACTGGGCTGGGGATCAGCAAGCTTAGTTTCTTTATGAGAAACATCTACAGAAGCTTCAGCTGCTTGTGATTCAGGTCTCCGCTTTCCCATTCAAGTATTATAAAGATTATGTAGTCAATCAAGTGTAAAAAAAATAATTTTTGGCACAGCGAAGAAAATTTTATTTTAAAGCCACATTAGACCACATGACTTCACGTGATATACAGATCGAAACTGACAGGCGAGTTTAGTCCTTATTCAACTGAGTTGTCGTTGTGTAGAATAAACTCAGTCACCCATGCTTCGATGCGATCGACATTTTGTTCCATATTATCAACGGTTTCGCTTAGCATTTCTATCACTATGTCCGCTTCATACGACTCGCGAGCTTCATCTGCAACCACTTGCATGATCTCGCATTCGACATTGTCTTGAATCTTTTTATCTGAATATCCTCTAAAATTGTAATAGTATCAGCACAATCCATGCAAAATTCAAGATACTAGCCATCAGAATCAAAGATCCTCACCTGCTTTGGAGCCGATCGTACAATGTAGTGTTGTTGCATGTAAGGACAACAACCAGATCAAACCATCTTTCAGGAAAGAAATCGCATCCATGATGATCAACAACAACTCCACCTTGAGCCATGATCTCCTCTAATTCATCAACAACCTATTTCAACAATAAGTTGTATTTGAAAATCAAAATCAAAGTAATTGGCAGTTGCTCAAGCGATTTTAAAACACATTCATACCATGAGACTATAATTACCTTGTCTTCGTTGATCATAAACGATTGGTATGTGTCGTCAAATCCATCATGCAACTGCTTCTCCTTTACCAATTTTCCCACTTCCAAGTGATGTAGCCCAGTGGCTATGGCAACCAACTCACTTGTCGTTGTTTTTCCTGTTCCTGGAGTGCCAGTGATCAAAATATTAGGACGAGAGCGAACAGGTTTTTCTATTTTGTCTCGAGTGTCGTCTTCATGGCTGGAATCGCTTTGCATTTCAATGACTTTGCGATTGTAAAATGAATTGCAGATTCTTCGAGCCACTTTAGCCTGAGGGTGTTGTTTTTACTGTATTTTGTAGCTGATTTGGTATATCGTGAATTGTCAAACACCATTGGCCAGCTTCAAGTTTTAGCTGCATGCATATGCCAAGAACAACCCTTTACTGTCGTCTGGTAACAGCAACTTCTCTCATTATACTATTTCTTATAGGTTTGTTCCTGTCTTCAACTAGCTACATATGGAGCTCAACTGAATGGTCGCCTGCAGCCATCCGCGAATCAGATGTATGCTGGAACTGCACTGCTGAACCTAACCCTGTGATCCCCCGTATCATCCATCAAACATGGAAGAACGAGAGCATTCCAAAGAAATGGCACAAGGCTCATGGCGCATGCAAGTACTGGCACAAGCGTACCAACTGGACTCACTACTTTTGGACCGATCACGACACTCGCGAGTTTCTTCGAATTCTCTATCCTGACTTCCTTCCAACTTATGATGGCTATAAATATCCTATCCAGCGTGTAGACGCGGTACGCTATTTCATCTTGTATGAATATGGAGGCATTTACATGGATCTGGATATCGGATGCATGAAATCCCTCGACCCATTGTTGAGATATCCTGCCATTATCCCAAAAACTACTCCCATCGGTTTCTCTAATGATTTTATGGCTTCTCGACCTAAACACCCTTTATTCAAAAGACTAGTCGATGAACTACCAAAATCAAATCATAACTGGTTTCTTCCCTATGCAACAGTGTTTTTCTCCACCGGTCCCATGTTTTTAAACATCAATGTAAAAGACTTTCTGCACAAAGATCCAGTTCAGCCGCAAAAGATTGAATATGACTACCGCGAAGCAAAAGACAGCCAAAACCAAACCTATATCAAGCGTCTGCCAAAAGTAGTAGACTTGGACTCGGTGTATGTATTGGAGCCACTCTTGTATAGCGGCGGCATGCCACGTGCTTTCTTTATGCATTTTGAAGGAAATAGCTGGCATAGTAGCGATGCATCATATATCCTGTATTTCTGGAGTTCAATCAAACCGCCTTGGTCAAGTCTTTTCATGTTTAAATTGGTCCTTTTGTGCTGCATACCAGCTGGGATATATGCGTCGTTCAAGTACCATCGGAAAAAGTCGATGAATGGGCGAAAGACACGTAGAATGGATTAGTTGAACCATGAAGTGTGTAGATCAAGACTTTTTTTGAAATATATATATGCTGACCGCTTTAAAATCCACTATTAGTTTATTGTAAAATACTACACCACTTTTACACAGCTCCTTCAATTTAATGAGTTGTGTAATTTAGATGCTGAATGCCATGGAATAAATAATGGATTCATTGCAGTCTATTATATATTTACAATGCATTAGACATTCAAATGCTTTGGTTTCCAGCAAAATTACATGTCAAACCTTGCCCAGAAAAAACACATTGAAAATGTCAGCCACGTCGTTAAAGCAGCTGCAGCGCAAGCGTAAGTGTTTGGATAGATTCAAATTGGTCAAATAATATCATCTACATAACCTATTATTCCAGTGCATTCCATACGTTGAAAAGTTGGAAATATACATGAGTTGCAGTCTAGCAGGACTATTGGTTGAGCTTTTCTAGATTTGATACATGTTCATCGTACCAGCTAGTATTAAACGTGTCGCTAAGATTAAACATTATGCTTGGATTTTTTATAATGGTATTAACAAATAGGTGTGTTGGAGGATATGGTCAAAGCGGTTCAACCAGCCAGTAAATGGAAACTTTTGGTAGTCGATGGACCTGCATCTAAACTTTTGAATGCCATTTGCAAAAGCCACGAGATTCTCGAGGAAAACGTTACAAGTATGTAGGCTCCAGCTGTACTAATCCAGTGCCATTCAATTGCATGAGTTGGATCCGTTATTTTATTTGTGCATGTCCATGCTAAAGTGAATTAATGTTGGATATCGTCGATGCAATGTACTTTTCATGTTGATGTGTAGTCATTGAAGAAATGTTTCATAAACGCCAGGCTTTTCCCACATATGAGGCTATTTATTTTATTACTCCAAACGAGCGGTCTGTAGATAGATTTATTTCCGACTTTAATCAAGAAAAACCGCTTTATCTGGCTGCTCATATTTATTTTATTGCATGTGAGTTGAAATTACAGCGACGTAGTCATATTAGTGTTGCTAGAATACTGAATCCAAGTTTTAAACATGACTTATTGAAATGTTATTTTCATACTAGCACTGGATGATTTTCTATTTGATAAAATCAAAAAATCTGGAGTTTCAAAATACATCAAGACGCTCAGAGAAATGAATATTGATTTTTTAGGTAATATAAATATGCTGTTCAAACTCAATGTAAAAACCATCATTATAAAATATTGCTGGCTACAGTGTGTCATGCCGTAGTGCTAAAATGGATTGTTTTTAGGCGTCGAACCGCATACTTTTTCAGTAGACCTACCTTTGGCACCCTTTTCGCTTTTTAATCCATTGAATTCTGCTGTTCAAACCGCAGATCTTCAAAGAGCCGCCAAAAGAGTAAACCGATATGCTGTTTTTCCCTTATATCAATGCTCACCACTGATTCATATAACGCTGCTAACCTTGAAACTCACAATCCAACTATTAGATTATCTCAATGCTCATCACAATTGGCGAATGCCCTTTTATTCGATACTACGATCCAACAGGTTCTGGAAATGGCGTATCGGCAAAACTCGCGCTACTTGTTCAACACGAGCTTGATGAGATATGCAAAGTAGACAAGGATTTTCCACCTCCAAGTGAATACAAACGAGCCATTTTGATTATTGTTGATCGCTCGTTTGACATGATGTCGCCGCTTCTGCATGAGTTCACGTATCAAGCCATGATGACTGATTTACTCATTAACGAGTCTGGAAGGTTCGGCACTGCGTTTTATATGAGCTGACAACTGATTATGCTTAAATTTATATATTTCTGTCTACTCTAGTGCTCCAAGCTACAACAATCTTGACGAAAGCGATGCTATTTGGGTACACATACACACATTTTTGGTAACCAAAGTATGAGTACACACCCCACGGTGCTAACACTACACATATACTATTTTATTGGTTTAATTCAGACACTGATCAAACACTGGCACTTTGCGGAAGCTGTGGAATATATTCGAACTTCATTTACAAAGTTTTTGTCGGAAAACAAAGCTGCGGCCAATGCAATTGGCGCTGACAGCAAGTATGCTTTAATTATGACATGATATGGTTTTGATACATATAATAGTGCTATTTTATTGAAATGATCACAAACTCATCACAGGCTTTGGATTTTCTTAGACCAATTGGGATTGATAGCTTAAAACAGATGAAGGACACGCTAAGTTCGCTTCCCCAATTCCAAGAAATGAAAGCAAAGGTATTTGCTAAATGGAAACGGGATGTTTATTCGCTTATTCTCATCACTTTGTTATTTTGTGTAGTTTGCAGTTCACATCAATATTTGCCAAGAGTGTAAATCATTGTTTGAGAAACGTCGATTGGATTTGGCTGCAAGTGTTGAGCAGGTAATATTCATTGTTTAGAAATATGCCGCGATCGTGCATTCCGTGGGTTTTAACCGGAATTACGAAATGATGCAGGATCTAGCAACGGGTGAAACGTCTGACGGTAAACCGCCAAAAAATGCCATGCTGAATCTAGTCCCTGTTCTAGACAACAAAAGCTCAGCGTATGTATTTGGCTGTTTGATTTAAAGAATCATAGTATTATCGGGAGTATCTGTTTGATCATGACCTTATTTACACTCAATATGACACATATTTTAGACCATATGATAAACTCAGAGCACTTATTATTTACATTATCGCCATGGATGGTATTGAAGATGTGGAGCGACGTCGATTGTTGGAAACAGCTAAACTATCCGTTGAAGACTCGCAAGCAATCACCAATCTATCCTACTTTAACATTCAACTGAGCCCAGGTCAGCTTTCTCCATCGAAAATGAAATCTAAAGACAAGGTGCTTTATATGCATGTGTAGTATATTACTGAATGGATGTACTGGCATGTTAACATGCTTAAACTCGGATTAAAAATTAGGGTCGATATAGCTATTGGGGAAGTCATAAACTAGACAAGAAACGTAAAAAAAACAAGGCCGGAGATGATATGCCATACGATCTCAGCAGATACACTCCATTAATTAAGCGGGTTATTGAGGTACAATCACGAATTTCCAAAATTTAAAGCATACTAATTTTGTCAATCATAAAGTATTCCAATGTCCAAGTATTAACTCGGATTATTACTATGCAATCGGTATATTAGGATCAAATTACAAACTCGGTCCCCAAGGATATATTTCCTTGGGTAACAGAGCCAGGATTAGATCAACTTGGAATTGTAAATGAGGCACCCAAAATGTTTAGATTCACATCCAATGGTCTGGTAGCGCCAGACCCAAATTATCCACACTCCCTGCGTACTACTCGCACAACGTGGGTAAATCGTAAACCAGCACCAAACAAGCGCAATGCAACAGGTGGAGATTCACTCAACTCTGGCAACGACAAAAACAGACACTCGGACGGATCAGACAAGTCTGATCTGAGACGCAATGGTCCCCGCATCATTCTTTTTTCACTTGGCGGACTGACCTATTCGGAGCTTCGTAGTGCGCATGAAATTACAAGAGACTCACTTCGAGAGGTGTTTCTTGGATCTACATATTTATATAATCCTGCTCAGTTTGTAGATATTTTGAAATCACTACATCTGTCAGATCCAAGCAAGTCTAATTTGTCTGCACTTTATGGCGCAAAGACTACTGTTACTGATGATGTTTCCTCACCCAAGGCTGATGCACCATCAAAGGAAAAGGAAAAGAAGGGCATCTTTTCATCCAAAAAGCGATAGATGTTTATATTAAGCCATTATAAATTGGTTTAGTTGCAGAATCGGACTAATAAATTCGAGCATCTTGAACTACTTTTTGAAATGCCGTGACTACGTTTATCGACTCTGAATTGCTTGATCATATTGCCAGAAATACACAAAACCGATACGGCCGTATTCGCGTAAAATTGAACATATTTATCCTCAGTCACTGCCTCCTTTTGCTTTGAAATAAACAGTGGCTAAATATCCGTCGTCTTGCTATTGGACATTGGCCGAACTGCTTTAAAATAAACATAGCGGCCATCATATGATACAAATTAAACTATGGCTTCGAATCTGCTTTTTCATCTCTTGACCTGGCTATACATTGTATGATTAGCAGGTTTGAAGTCAGATGCAACATTGCTATTCAAATATTTGGTTCAATTGTTTTGATATTTTAGCGTTCCATTTTACACGAGTACGGCCGAGAATAGAATCTATTTCAACCACTCGATTTTAATTTGTCAGATCATGTGGGAATATAAAGTGAGAAAATTTTATATTGATGCTTTCAATCTGTTGTCCTTGAACGTTAGTTCACAATTGTACCTTGGTGAAGGAAGTGCTTGACCATATAGAGTGGTCTTGCTTAGTAGTATATACAGGACACACAATGATACCAGTTTTTATGAGAAATTCTTTCCGACATTTAATGCATTTGATTTCTAATTAGATTCTGATTAGATTTTAAAAGTTAAATTAGAAACAAAATTGCGTTGAATGTTGGAAAGAATTTCTCCTAAAATTTGATATAAAATTATTAACTTTTGACCATTTTAGTAGAGAATTTTGCCTAAAAACTGACATCATCAGTATTGAGTTGTGAACATATGACAACATTTCAGTGGTTGTTATATTGAAAAGTTTGTTACAGCAAGTAAAAGAAGGTGAAGGAATGAACCAGTGTATGAATTGTTATTTACTAAGCAAGAGAGCAGGTTTATTAAGCAAGAGTTGGAAAGGACAGAAGAAAAGCCATGTTTAAACCCCAGTCTATAATCATTATTAAAGGTTCTTGATTATTGTAAATCCTCAGAGTTGGTTATATTCAGTCTAACCTCATGCATTACATACAACGATCTCACACAAGTCATTCAACTTGATGTCTCATCACTCTAAATCCCATGACAAAGATCACACATTCCTAATGTCTAACATTCTATATATACTACTTTTTTAAAAAAATTGTATTTTATTTCTAGTCTACTTTTATTTGATTTACATACTACCATTGCTTGGCTTGACAACTTAGCTGCTACCATTATTGAATCACTTGCTGGTATTTCCAAACCTTGGTATTCATTAGAAGGTCTTGCATAATAGTCCATTCAAATACTATCATTTTTGGAAGAGCTACATTGACAGTCTACTCAGTTGTCACATAACTGAATCAAGTTTCTTGGAGTTCAATCACTGCAATATGCCCAACCGTCGAAAGAAACTGCCAATACAACCTCTTCAAAATTTAACCACTTCATCAGCTGGTTTTTCATCCGGCGAGGTAGCTACTTTTTCAGAAGCACATGTGCTGGCTGAATCTGATACTGGACATGGTCGTGAATTTCCCAACACTTTGGTGGGCAGTATCTCTAGTAAACGACCAGCTACAGACTCTTACAGTGCTGAATCGACAAGTGTTGAGCCCGAATGTTCTAGAGATGCGAGATTTTCAGATTCTACTTTGGCATCCTCTTCGCCACATGCATTCAAATATCCGAGATTAACTACAGCTGGACGTGCTAGACATTCAGTCGATATTGCCACTGCATCTCGGGGTGAAAGTAGTCATGATGACTGCACTCGTCGTACAAATATCCAACCCTTTTCATTAGGATCATCTAGTTCAAATAATATCACCACGTCCGCTCCAATAACAACTGCAGCACTTGTTTCATTGGATTCGAGCCAGAAAGACTGCATTGCTTCCCGTTCGTCACAATCTAATCTGCTGTCTACACCCGTTAGCGAGTCGCGTCCGGCACTTGAACGCATTGTAGATTCACCAACTGTAAGAAACCAAGCTCGATATCATCTTCGAATTCCAACAGATTCAATCAGTTCTCCCGATACACCACCACAAATAGGTCGTGGGACGCGCCCATTAAGTGGTAGATCAACCCCTTTATTTCAAGAAAACAGGACAACTCGCCCAAATGTCTTTCGGGCTTCGGCAAGTGGAAGAGGTTTACGCACTGGGGTCTTGACAAGCGAAAGACCAACTACAAGCGATACCAATCATAGCCGTAATATGCCACGCAACTCATCTACTAGCGATTCATATCGTATCAGCACTCCACGAACGCGTGGTACAAGCAGATCAGTATCCACACATCCATCCTTGAGAGCTTCTACCTCTAGGTCTCCCATATCGATTGATCTAACACTTGGTTCTCCAACAACGTCTACACATCCATCCATTGATGCAGATGAAGAGTTTGCTAGAAGATTACAAGAGGAAGAATACAATGCGATCCAGTCCATAAATATACAACACATTCACCGACACATGATGGGTTTAGTTTCAGATGATAGAGAAGCTATATTGGGTGAAGAAGCACCATACCAAGCAAGTACAGAAGAAAGCGAAGTCAATAGTGACGAAGAGGATGAAGGCACCATGCATGAATTTTTGGAAAGAGCGCACCATGGTTACTATCACTGGAATGATGAGGATGAACATGACGAGGATGAGGATGAAGAGCATGGTGATGAGATTGAGTATGCTGATAGTGATGCGCTTGAAACTTCAGTGTTTGGTTATGGCAGGTATCATCACACACCTACACGACATCATCCAATCAATCCTGTTCAGTCAGCTAGCTTTAGACGTGGTGATGCAACACGGAATACATGGCGAGTTACGCCTAGTTGGATGGCCAATTTTGGGTAACTTGCATTTACTAAACTACCTGTTTGTCTCAGTATATAACTGCTTTTGATTGATGCAATACTAACACTATACACGTATCACTCTTGATCTGTATGTTTTAGATTGGGTTTGGCATCATCTCCTCGAAACTATTTGAGAGATGATGAATTGGATGTTTCGTACGAGGGACTATTGGCACTGAGTTCACGTATTGGAGAAGTAGTTCAAAAAGGAACACCTACGGAAATCATCATGTCAATACCAAGTCACCTCTACCATGTTTCCAAACACCTTCCAAGTGGTGGAGATATACCCAAATGCGCTATTTGTTTGGAGGATTATATTGAAGGGGATGTTATCAAATGCTTACCTGGATGTAATCATGAATTACATGGTAGTTGCGTATCTAACTGGCTTTTACAAAGTAAACAGTGTCCCATGTGAGTTGTTGGATATTCATATCTGGTATGTGTAAAGTTGTATACCGACATTAATACTTTTTGTATCTATAGCTGCCGATTCGACATCACAAAATCTCAATAATAAACTGAAATGACCGCCGTTTGATTGTATTAGAAATCCCATTCATTTGAGACGGTTGATGGATTCAAAACTCAAAATAACGTGTTTGATTTATTTATCGTTTAGAATCTTTAATGCAGGTTAACCCATTTTCACTACTCATGGTTAATACTTGAACCAAACGATATCGCCGGTATCTTCGACAAACCGACACAACTTCTGTGATCGATACACAGCTTCAAAGATGTTGGTATTGTCGTACAGATAGTATTCTCCAACAACCTTTTTTAAAGCCTCTGTGGCTTCTTGAGCATGATAATGCGGCATGGTAGAAAAGAGATGGTGAGCAACGTGGGTATCGGCGATGTGATGGTGAAAGTAGTTCAAGATACCGTAGTCACGGTCGACAGTGGAAAGTGCACCGCGAAGAAAGTCCCATTCGTTGTTGCGGAAATGAGGAACAAGTGGATCTGTATGCTGAAGAAATGTGATCATCACAAGCCAAAAGTTGACAAAGATGTATGGAACAACGTAGTAGAAGATTACGTTCATTGAGCCGTAGATATGACCGAGGTAGACGAGGCCAGCAATTGCTGTTATCACGCCAGCACAAGACATGATAATGTGGTCAAACTGTTTTGGCTCAAACATTTTGGCAGCAGGATTAAAATGAGATGCCCAGCCCGAGTAACGCTGACCAGAAACATTAGCCAGGATGTATGAAGGCCATCCGAAAAACAGCATGCGGAAAATCTCGAAAAGAAGAAAGATTGGAGCCATTTCGGAAAGAGGATGATCATCGTCGTCGTCATGGCTGTAAGCTTTTTCAAAATCAGCGTCGCTCATTGAATCTTCTATTTCGCTGCGTAGAGTAGGAACGAAGACCTGATCTTTGGTCATGTGGCCTGTAGCTTTATGATGCTTGGAGTGAGTGTATTTCCACGAAAAATAGGGGACAAGTAAAGCAGAGTGGATAATAAACCCAGTGATGTTATTGATAGTAGTGCTAGGAGAAAATGCACCGTGACCACATTCTAAAATAACGGGCAATACCGTTAGTTTCCAATACAATGAATAGCCAGCTGACATGAGGTGCGATCAAGCCAATCGATCATAACAATCACGACTGGTCAAGAATGATGCTTACCGTGAGCAATGACCCATAAACCAGTGCAGACAATGCCCTGACACCACCAGTAAGCAGGCCATGCGGCAAGTTGGTACCATAACGGCAGTCGCGGAATAAACGTAGCAACATAGAACAAGATGGATGCAAGTACGCCGTCATGAATGATGTAAGAAAAAGAACGCAAAGTGTTGCGTTCAAAACAGTGAGCTGGAATGGCATCTCGCACTTGCTTCAAAGTGAATGGGGGCGGTTTCCAAGACTCGGCAGCCTTTTTATCAGCTAGACGACCAGGCAAAGAACAATTCGTTTTTTTAATAGTGGATCGTTCATTTTTAGTTAGTTGCTTGGCACAACCGACGGTTGTGTTGGCAGATGTACGCTGAATCACAGTCATTATTTGATGTTGACGTTAATAAGTGGTAACAGTGTTGAATATGTTCTGGTATTCATTGATCACAAGATAGGATTAAAGTCGAGAGGTTTCCAGAGATTCAAATAAAAGAATATGTTCATTAGTTACAGATTGATAGTAATTATAAAATACTGGAAAGTACTTTGAAAATGCAGTGCCCATCCGACTTTTACAATGGATTAAATATTTCAACCACAGTAGTGGAGACTGTATATTAAACATTCAAACAATTCCAATAAATACTAAACTATTTGATTTTAGAAACTCACCCCAAACCAGTCCGACTGCCTACAACCGAATCAAACTGGATAGAATCAAATAGTAGAAATAAGTTATTTTATGTTTATTCAACTTGACAAGAGTTACACAACTGAGGGTATCTGCGGTCATTTGGATTTCACCGCACACTTTGAAATTCATGTTATCAAGCAGATTCTACTCAAAACTCCACTACAGAACAAGACTGCATTATTTAAACATGCGTTTAGTTTCAGCTTTGAATGACGTAGATACGCATGACATTACCAACTAAAAAGACTTGGATTGAATCATGTTTACTGTATGAGTTAGTGACTAGGAAACAGAAGAAAAAACTTGCCGCCACATTGGAATAAAAGTTGCTCTTGCAATCCTCAATACTCGTTTTAAACTGTGCTTAGTAATTTACACCAGTTTTGTATTTGTTGGGATTGTTGTGTGCGGTCTACAGTAATACACTTGAAAATCATCACTAAACTGCTGTATTGTCCTACTCATGAACATAGTGGTGGTATCTGGATACTCGAGTATGCATTTCGACTTTACAATTGTGTCCATTTTTATTTCATATTTTTACCAAAAACAGTTGTATGCAATTAAAAACAAGCTGGAAGATTCCTAGTTTAAACATCAGATTCTTCCTAGTATAAAACACTCGAGGCAGTTCATTGGGCTTACTTTCAACCATCTCTTGATGCACTCGTTCAATAATGTACGAGCTGTTGAAAAAAACACAAACACCGCTACTCCAACATAGAAAATACTGCATTATGGCTATCCGCCTGTCCAAAACCACAGCCACCATCAATACTGTTGGAAATATCATTACCACTACAATCAACATCAAAGCAAACATCCATAAATCTGTTCCATTCACCGACACCATCATCTATGAATGGCAGAATTAGTTCATCTTGGCAAAAGAGTGCTTCTATTGGATCTGGAGTGACATGTTTGTCATCATTCGAGGCAGAAAGAATAGAAAAAATGTCATCCGCCGGTGTATAAACTGTCTTTTGAGGCATACCAAGCAGTGGAAACATATCGTTCATGGTGAGATTATGATCTAGCATGCCAAGTGTCGTTGGATTCGTTTCAAACTCGGTTTGTGTTGGTGAAGGTATCCAGCGTTGCGGAAAAAGCACCGATTGCTGAGACTGAGCCAAACTTGATGATGGCAACTGAGCGGACAATATTGGATGATGGATATTCAATGCGGCTGTATTTACAAAACTATCCATTCCACCACTCGCTTGTAATGGCAGACTTGTGCTGACAAAATTAAAATGTGGATCAGATGAAATTAATACAGTTGTATCAATTCCATACGACATTCCAAGAATGTTGTCGGAAAGACCCGAAGCATGACAATCAAGCTTTTCTGGAATAGAAAGGTGTTGGTTTAAAAAAAGATTCGACTCCAAACTATTCATGCTAGATTTTAACGTAGGCGATTCAATCATCCGACCATCCATGTTGAACGGATATGCTGAAGAATCTACATGTGTGTTTACAACCATGGGAGGATTGGCACTCACTAGTGGAAGATTGTGATAAATTGGGTTTATCGCATACTGTTTGTAGCTGTGTTCAGTGGAAGATTGTGTTGGCATGCTATGCTGAGTTGTCCTACTTTCAAATATATCTTGAAACGCATAAGGTGACCATAAAGCAGGGCTTGTGATATCTCTCTGATTTTTAGATATAATGGGAGTCTCGTCTTTGTTTGAAATTGAAGTTTTGGGACCATGTCTAAAGTATCCTCGTCGAGCAACTAAACTATGCGATCCGCTATTGTCCACAGTCTCACATCCATCATTGTATTTGTACGGCTGATTGCGATAACGAGTTCTTGATGTGAACGACTTGTTTGATTGAACCGACCCACGCTCAGCATAAGCTATTTTTGAACCGATTCTGCCATGCTCGTCTTCAAAATCATCATTGTCAAGCATATCTGTCGATTTTGATCTCTTTGCACTATATGTCTGCGTTAGTGTGATTTTTGTAGGATCCGGTGATAGACAAGCCAATTCAGGAACATCGCGGGGAGTTTCCATGCCTCCAAATATGAGATCTGCTTGAGTGTAATATGCAATCATGTGATAAATTTCTCTGGATCATGAAAAGTATATAATATAGATGTCATGGATGTTGAAAACTAGTTAGACAGCATTCTGATTGTCAAGTAAAGCAAAATATCAATTAGACTGTCAGTTACCCATTCATATGAACAGCTATTGTTTTTTTAATTAGTCCACTTTCTCGAACAATATATGTCCCCTAAATATAAGATCGAGTTGACGCAACCCACATTTAAGCAACTTAATACAGCAAACATTCCAAGCAACATATCAGCACATACTTTACTTCCAACGGTAGCTGATTTGCCATCCAGATCGATTATTCTACGATCCTGTTTATCATACTTTTGATTACGTGGCTTGGGAATTTTCACATCAAGTTCACGATAGACAAGAAAATGTCCAAGAATCCGACTGGGTCCCCAAAGTCTTCCATCCGTCCTATTATATATTTCATGCAATTCTAGCCCATTTAATCGATCCAACATATGCTTGACTCGCTTGTGATGCATCATTCAGTCGCATATTCCCATTAAACCTACCATCTTTTGATGCCCGTGTCGCGCTGACAAAATACATAACAGCTACCATGAGAAATCTCATTTTTTTGTTTATCGTCCAATCGGTTCTGCACACAATTGATAATCCCTATTCTACATGCCTCAAACAGCAGCAATGCATCATGGGTCGTTTCAACAAACCCTAGCACATCACAACAGTATTATAGATTAAATATTCGAGCTGGACACATTCATTAATATATTTTATGTTGCTTACCGTTGAATGTTTCCATATGATAATATGCTAGGATACCGCAAGAAATGGTTTCAAGTTCAACTTGCAAATTTACTGGAAACCGTTGATTTACAAAACCGTTGATTTAAATCAGTTATCTCCAAAGTATGACTGATTGTAAAAATGCAACTATGCAGGAAATTAGAGTGAAGATTCCACAAAATGAAATTACAATCGTTAACTTTGAGATATGAGTGTAGATAGATAGTATTCAAAGTAGACCAAAAATTGACGACTACAAAGGACAGTAAAAGGTTGAAAGAAAAATAATGGGGTTTTGTTATTGACTTGATCTTTGCAATTAGTCTTTGATGTGTGAGACCTATTAGCCTTGAATCTCACGTTTGTTAGAGCCGTGCGAGTTTTATTTAGTGATTTGTAAAATGACTAGAATATCCATTTACCACGCTTCACACTGGCATCCTTATTCACATAAAGTGGACCACCAAATAAGGGGCTTGCGTAATAAACAGCCATCCTCATAAAGTGATAATTCACACTAAATTCACTGGATAATAGTGTGTCCTTTGAGCTCTTTAATTGGGATTGAATATGGAAACAACTACTATATTTTTGAGATGTACAACCATTGGTTTCTTGAATTGAAGCGTGAATGTATCCAAGTACACCTATGCTCAAATCGCACGATCATTTAGATGATAATTTCATGATGCATTACCACGAATGGCTAGAAAAAGAAGTGTACCACCCCATGGCGAATATCATTGACGGCGAGTTATTTGATGCCACCAAAGTGTGTATTGTGGACAAAGAAGACGATATGCCTGATGACATCAAACAGCATTTCTACTATGTGATTGAAGGAAAATAAAAACTGTATCTCAGCACACTCGACCGATGGGTTCATTTCATTGTAAAAGTTGAATCCAAAGTATCATGTGTAATCATGATCAATAGTTGAGATATTGAATGTTTTCAATCTCGCGATTTTAGGATTGATTACAGCTTGAATGGTTTAGTCTTTTACTTGCCCATTTATATGGATTACAATATGTTCAATACACATGACATGATCAAAAAGATGAGTTGAATCATTAATATTGGTTGGTGCATCGTCGAGAATACAAGTAAATTCAACACTTGATAATCATTCAGTATGCAAGTATATTTCATTCACCAGTTATTACTGTAAAGGTCTGTACTAAACTATCCATCTCAACTGTCATAATCTATTCAAATGTAAGAAATAGCTCAATAAATGCCATTTTATTATTCAATCTTACCAAAAACTCAAACTCATCGACGACCTCTCCCTCTTCCACTACCACGACTAGATCCACCTCTTCCTCTTCCACCACCACGACTAGATCCGCCTCTTCCACCACCACCACCACGACTAGACCCACGACTAGATTGTGCTTGAGAAGCCAAGACATGCTTGTGACGACCAGTCTTTGCACGTCGCTTTTCCTTTTCTTCGCGAGCCTTGACAATCTCTGATGCAGTTTTGATTTCAGATTTGACTTTGGCTGCCTTTTGTGCTTTGGCAGCCTCCATTTCAACAGTCTTTAGCATCTTTGCGTTCTCCATAGACTCTAATCGCTTTTGCTTAATCTCTTCCGATTTCATACCGTCCTTGCGCCATTGCGACTCCATTTTACCCAATTTTCGATCAAACGATTTGGATCCAATACTAGGTGCCAACATTCTCTGATGTCTGTAAACACGTACACCCGTCGCATTTCCAGCACTGTTTGCAATTTGTTCTGCATCTGCCAATTCCAAATCGCCCGTTCGTGGCATATCAGTGCGAGTACGCTTGCTCCATCGCTCGTATCGATCACTTTTGAACGATGCAGGAACAAGTGTACCAAGATCTGTTCTGATACGTTTTTTGTTATCGGCACCAACCGTTTCACGAGTAAAGCGATGCTTTTTTCCATCCCATTTAAGCTGAGATTGCTGTTTTTTGAGTAGGTCAGGATCGTCTTGCATCAAGTCAATCGTGGCTTGAGAAGCACTGGTAGCAAACGTGCTTGAGGAGAAATTACCCTGTTTTGCATTGACTGCATATCCCATCTCAGTGTCTGCATCCAGTGGTCGGTATGACAGATAATGCTCCTTGTCACGGTAGTCAGTACCTTTGACTTTTTTGCGATGATCAGCTGCAGTCTTGTCATTTGCGCTCAATAAAGTGATAGCGTCAGATTCACCAAATATCTTCAAATCATCATCATCTGCCATCAAGTCTGTTGAATGCTTTGAAATCAAATGTGCTTGAGATAGGGTTTCCTTGGTTTCCTTTTCTATACGATGTGATTTCATAGCATTGATCTTGCCTGCCAACAGATTGCGTCGCTTGACCATTAAAACTGCTTCACTAGATTTCATGCCACGACGACCCACCTCAAACACACTTTCTGTAGGACGAAAGTTGGAAATGGACTTTATCATTTCAACACGGTTGAATTCGGATTTGCCAACTTTGGCGGCTGAAATTGATAAGCAATGTATTTGCTGTTGGTCAGTATAGATTCACAATCAAGATTAAAACACACTTGTCAATATAAACATACCAAACATGGGGTGAATGCCAATATGCTGAGTGACTATATCTTTGGTGCGAGCATACGATCCTCTAGTGGCTGTTGGACGTGATTTGAGATACATTTGGTAACCCTTGCGAGATGAATCGCGCAATGTTTCAATGGTAATGTTTCCATGAATCAGCTGCTGTGCTGCTTCAATTTCAAGTCCTAAATGTGTTGGTGGCAGATATCCATAAACCAGCTCGGCAGTATACTGAGGCTCTCGAGAGGTTTTGGAAATACACAATTCATCATCCTTATTTGCTGCATTATTTTTGGTGTCTAGTGCAGAGTCAAAAAATGCCGACGCAAAAACAAGTGGACGGCCAGTAAAAAGTTGAAGATCCAACATATAAGGCAGTTCATCATTTGATATGAGCGACCACGCAGAACCATTTTTACCAGCACGAGCTGTACGTCCAACACGATGCACAAAAATCTTGCTTGAAGCAGGAAAGTCGTAGTTGATCACATTGTCAAGCAAAGGCACATCAATACCACGAGCAGCTACATCTGTAACCACAAGAATCTTGATTTTTCCGTTTTGGAAGCGTCCCAAATGAATCTTTCTTGCAATCTGGTCAAGTGCACCATAAATATATGTGGCTTCAATTCCAGCAGCATTCAAAAATTCTTGTACATACTCGACGTGATGTTTTGTAGAAACAAAAATCACAGTTTGCTGATCCTCGGGAATACATTCACGCAGCAGATACAATAGGGCACCTTCTTTTTCCTCTGGCTTGACAGAAAAGAAATACATTTGCAAATTCCTTGAAATTTTGGTATCCACATCCAAACGCAACAAGGCTGGATTCTGCAGACCAGCACGAGCAAAATCAACCAGCAGTCTAGGCAGTGTTGCCGAAAACAAAAGAGTCTGACGAGTTTCAGGGACTCTATGCATAATTTCACGCAACTGATCTGCAAATCCCATTTCAAACAAACGATCGGCTTCATCAAACACAATATACTCAATTGCCTTCATGTCCATGTTCATCTCAATCATCAAGTGCATTAAACGACCAGGAGTCGCTACAATAACATCGGGGTTTCCAGCAAGAGCAGTGAACTGATCTTCAAGCTGGTCACCACCGACAAACACACACCCACGCAAGTCTGTAAATTTGGCAAGATCCTTGAAAAACTTTAGAGTTTGAGTGGCAAGCTCACGACTTGGAGATAAAATCAGTGCACGAGCACCGACTTTGGCAGAATGTGTCTTGAGACGCTCAATCAACGGAATGAGAAATGCTGCAGTTTTTCCAGAGCCGGTACGAGCCATGGAAACAACGTCACGTCCTTCCATGATAATAGGAATTACCTTTCTCTGAATAGGTGTTGGTATTCTGTATCCTTGTTGTGCAATAGCTTTGTAGATGGGATAGCTCAAGCCTATAAGTGTCAAATTAAAGTATATAGTGATAAGGTCGAGTCAGTCGATCCATTTGATTTTCAATCAAATATAGACAAGCTGAATAAAATCACAAATCAATGTTTTAAATAACTTTCCCATGGACTGAAATCCTCCCGATTTTTTTCCTTTTCGGTTTGCTGATTTCAATTGTTTTGCAATAGCTTGCGTTTCGTCTTCTTCGTCGCTATTGCTTTCTTGATCGTCATCGAGTATATCATTGCTGTCTGCATGACTATCATCAGAGTCACTTTCGCGTGTATTCAAGCCATCTGATTCAATTTGATCTTCTGCATCAGCATCACTGCCAGATTCAAATTCCTCGTTGCCATCAGCACTTGAGTCATCCTGAACACTATTTTCTGAAGAAAATCCTCCAATGTCAGACCCAGACTCCCATCCTTCAGTTTCTGGATCAACTCGATTATTCAACTTTGTAGCTGGATTCTGTATCTTGTCTAGGGGAACCGTTTCAAATTCAAAATCCTCTTTGGAGTTTGCACCTTTTTTTTGAAACTTGGCCTTTTGTCGTTCCTTTTTAAGTGCCTTTGCATCGGGTATTGTGTCCTCTTTTTTTCCAAATTTATCTCTATTTTGGCGAGAATAGTCTATAGAATCTCCTCGACCTCCTCGATCGCCTTTTGAATTTCCACGTCCTCGTGCACCACTACCGCCATATGGGCCTGAATATGGATACATACAGATTAATAAGCCGTTTCTTTCAATTATTTAGTATACCAAACGGCTTAAAATCAAATTAGCAATAAGTTTACTTTGCTTCTTGGTTACTCCTCTAGTTGACGAATGAGTACTGATACCACGACCTCTTGACGATCCTCCTCTTGATGATCCTCCTCTTGATGACCCGCCTCTTGACGATCCTCCTCTTGATGATCCGCCTCTTGATGATCCTCCTCTTCCTCTACTAGATCCACCTCTGAATGAACCAGCTTGTCCTCTCATTATTTGTTTTTGGAATTTGAAATGTTGAAAAAATTTGATTTTTGATTTTCAACAAGAAATTCAAAATCTAGTCACGTGGTTATAAGCTGTCCAAATGAATTTTACCTATAAGTTGTCCAATTTCAAGCTTCAGCTGTATTCATGTAGAATGAACTACTTGTGTTTATCTTGTAATAAACCTGTTTTGCGCCAAAATATGCAATCGTTGCATATTCGCGGTGATTGGAAATGGATTGTTTTTTTCTATAAAAATTATATTTTGAAAACAAAGAGTTGAGAAGATGTCAAAGGATGTGTAATGTACTGGAATAAGAATGTAAAGATGAGCCATTTATTATGTATCTTGACATTTAATGGTTTATTTTACGTGAATACGCTGTAAAATCTATACATGCATGCTAAACAAATGCTTCAAATATTTATTACTCTCGGAGATTTTTTAAAGAAACTTTGGATGATTTTGAATTTGGCAGCGGTGTGATTTTTCCAGATCGTTTGTATTTAGCAGATGCGGTCGAGGATGATGACACAGACTTGGACTGTGAATCTGAGTGGGAATGTGTAGTGTCAATATTGGATGAATCTGCTTGTATCTCTAGTGAAGTTTGAACTGCAATGTCTTTTTTTGATACTTGAATTTGAGTGGGTTTCGATGCAGCAAGGTCGTCGATTGGTAAGACTGTCTTGACACTTGGCAAGTTCGTATTGGTTTTTTTTGTTCTGCATCCACAGCACTCACCAAACATCCTGCGATACCACATTTTCCATCGAACACTCCACCGATGTGATACGGAAGCAACACTATGCATGCTGTTGATGACTGAATGCATGCGAGAATGAGCCGCTCCATCAGGTCGCCAAATTCCACATGTGCACTTGTCCAGTATTCCTCGCAATCTGGCAATCTCTGCCTCGAGAGCCAACATCCTCAATACAATCGGATCGACATTTACTCTAACTTGATTCGTGACTTTTTTGGCTCGCTCAGCAAAACGTAACGTACCAACTGTTTCATCATAAGACGCAGCACAAGGGGATATACATGCAATCATGGCTGTTAGTGAATTTCCACCCAGCGAATCGCTGAGCAAATACGTTAGTTTGGAATCTCTATAAGGGACATGCTTGGCGTGAGTGGAGAGTGCATTGATCACATTTCCTAAAGATGAGAGCGATTGATTGATTGATGCTCCTTCTTTAAGTCGGGTTCCTGTAGCACCAGTAGAATCGACTCGCTCTGAGCCTGCCAAATCTATAAGGTGGATTTTGCTGCGCTTTTTAACACCGATTTGGTTTACATTATCTGCACTACCATCATCCGCATTGTCATAGTTGTCTGATGGTACTGCAATGGAATGGGGAATAGCTTGATACTGTTCAATGATCAATGTGAGTACTGAATGGGATCGCGACGATACTTTGTTCATGTTAGTCTCGGCTACAGTACGATGTTTGATACCGAGCTCAATCATTTTTAGATAGTCCAATGGTGTTGAAAGCTGTCGTTCAGTGAGTCCCTCTACATAAAGCTCCTTGCCAGTTGCTGATTTTGAGTCTATCCTTATTCGCAGCTCTCCTAATTTTTCAGGGTATAGAAATACAGATTCATGAGTCCAGATTTTTATAGTTTACTGATATCAAGAAAACAATGTTTTATGCTATACCTTGCTGATCTGCAGGACATAGTAAATCTTTAAGCTGTTCTTGATATATTTCCAAATAGCTTGCAGTTACCGAGTATGTAGTCGAGGCTTTGGTAGATTTCCCTCCACCCATTCCTGCGTTATCGTCGCCATCAATACCTTTTGATTTTCGAATGCATTCTATAATCTGGTCAGCGACTCGTAAAATAATACCACGATTATCCGAAGTAGACACGCTTTCTTCAAATCCAGTGCTAGCTGATGGTCCTTGCATTGTATACGTTTTTCCACTAGCCGTTTGTCCATATACAAAAATGCATCCGTTGTATCCATCAAGACATTGGTCAATGATTGGACGAATCATGCGTTCGTAGATTTGTGATTGTGATGCAGTTGCGGAAAACACCTTGTCAAAATGAAACTCTTTTGGAGATTTGCGTTCATCGGGGTCATTGATGCAAACTGTTGCATAGGTATCTGTTGCAGGGTCGCGATTGGATGCTTCTACAACTATCGCTGAGCCATTTTGAGTATCATGTACAGTGGCTTGTGTATAGCTAGAGGGTGTAGGTGTGGATGAGCCGGATGCTATGTGTTGTGATAAAAACGGTGGTTTGGGTGGAAAGCTGTTGGACTTTATAGAAAGTGCTATTGGAGTGCTAGTAGCTGGACGTGGTCCATCAAGCACGTTGCTGCGTGATGACGGTGGGTTTCTAATACGCACAGCGACTTGAACGCTTTGTGATGCAAGAGATGCATCTGGTATTTCATTTCCCATCAACCCCACAAGTTATAGTTGCCGTATGGTGATGCGTACAGCTAGAATATATTATGAACAATGCTGCTGTGTTGCAGTTTAACAGGAATAAAACGCGGTCAATAAAATACTCAATGTTCATGCAATGTTGAGGCTTACATAAATGTAAATTGTTTATTGGCTTAATTTTATAAATGGTTTGGCTTTGAAAGCCTTGTTGATGCACTCGAGAACTTCAACTCGATTTTGCATAACATGGTCATAGCTTCGACTGCCCTTGGGACCGAGATACTCAAGCATGGATGTTTTTAGTTTAGAGCTTGCAGTGTTCAATGACAGTCTTACGTTAAACAAATCGATTTCCATTTGATTACGAACACCTTTCATATACAGCATATGCCTTTTATGTGAGTTAGGTGATCGTTTTCCAGTCGTGGACTCCTCCCATTGCTCACCAATGACTTCAAGTTTGTTAATCAGTGATTCTTTTGAATTGACGAGTCCAGATATTTGTATTAGTTGGCTGAGCAAATCGGTTAAAATTTCTGGTTTCAGGAGTATCATCACATTGCATACTCGCTTGATTCTACTCTTGACGACATTCTCTCTACTCTTGGCTTGAACTAGAGAAATGTCTGTACCAGTGGTTGTCTTTTTCGGGATTGGGTAGACATAGTCTGATACTTTGTGTGTCGGGGAATCTATGTTTGGCAAGATACCTGCATGCACAATCGACACAACGCACGCAATGGTGGAAAATAGGAATAATTTCATGATATGAGTTTGGCGGATCTGACAGCTGGACTAATAGGATAATATAAATAGTCGAGCGTTTCAAGGTTGACTGCTAAAGTAAAGGGTTATTATCCCTTAAATGATAAGGGCTTGCTTTGATTACAGCCAGCAACAAAGCCACATACAGGCTATGATATCATTGATGCTTATTATCTTGCATCTACAAAATTATGGATTTTGAACCTGCAATTTGAAAGTCTAAAATATGTAGTTGAATAATCAACTCTTTGATATCCAAATCAATAATACAAATGATTATTGGCTTAACCATGTCTGTTGGTGTGCATGAACCATCTGTACTCTGCTTGAATATCCAAAATCACTTTGTGCAGACATCCCTTTTAGTCCACAGCTTTAGACTATCAAGGGAGATAGTTGACGTCAGCCCCTGTAGCCCTTTTCGAGTTTCCATTTCACATAAATATATGCATGAACTTTCACGACATATGACAATCCCTTTTAAAGGTTGACGATTTGAAAGCTTTTTTATAGCCAATCCTTAACTCGACATGAAATTTGTTTTGATTTTATCTGCTTTGATAGCCTTTGTTGCCGCTCAAGTACCAAAAAGTTCTATCAAGCCGATGGGACTTGATGGCCTGATCCCCGACTCTTAGAAATAGTACGAAACTTACGACTTGATATTTCAACGATCGCTACTTGATCCTGTTCTATCTGTAGTGCTCTTGGTTTGGATCACAGCTCGTGATAAAGGATACGAGAATAGAGAAATGAAATAAAAAGTTGTCAACACTGTTTGTGTAGTCGAGATGTCACTAAGATTCATTCAACCACATTTTTGTGATCAGGTTTTGATTGATTGGGTGATTGCGACCCTCATCACCCCAAATCTAGTGCCCTTTTGAAGGCAATGAAAAAGTTTTGGAAGGGTAGGTCTAGACTTGTGTATTTTCTTGAAAGATGGTCGACACAACATCAACAGTAAGGGCCTTCGGCGCGTGATTATCAATGCAGGGCCATCAACCTTTATCGTGATGATTACAATCAGCACATGTGTGATTAAAAGTGATCAAGTGGGAGATTTAAAATAGTATTCACAGAAATTATGTTTCACCCTGTTGTCACCAGCTAGGAATCGATTCCTAGCTGGTGGCTCTTGTTACAGCCACATTATGTGACATTAAACAAGGATGTCTGAATTTACAAGACAATATTGTGTCTTGAACTTTATGACAGTCACTGCAAGATGGCGGTTTATTTTACGTGAACATGGCCATAATACAAGGCTATTGAAACAAGAATCATTCATTCTATACTCGACAATCATTTGATCAACTTGTAAAAAGACAATTCGAGTTTAATTCAAACAAAAAATAGGATCAATACTCAAACAGTAGTGCCAAGTTTCTGCAGTCTAGGTATAATGCTTTGTTGAAATGGTGCACTGGATAATATCATACGGATTTTTTCGCGTCTGGATATTTCTTGAGCTGTCATTCCAGCAGTATCACCATTGCATTTTGAGACCTGTTGGACAAGATATGAAGCGGGATCGGCCACACCATCAACCATATTGGTTTTTCCAAGCTTACCCATAGTGGATAAACGAACAAAGCTAACTTGGTAGCCAGTATCCTCAGCAAAGTCCATCGAGGACAGTATGTCTGGGTCATCTTCAGCCGGTGCACTAACAGTCAATTTGTCAGTACCATCCGTGGATTTCAGAGAGTGAGCAGCCTCGGCAAGATCCAAAACAACAGCAAAAAGAGTTGGCCTACATTATGAAATAGTACATACAGCGAATGAATAACTCATAAGTTTAAAAAGCCATCAAACAGTATCAGAAAATACAGCATTACCAGAGGTTAATGTATGCATCACTCAAGAGTGAATTTCCTTCAAAAAGCAGGCGAGTCATTGCAACACAACATTTTTTACGATCGTTGAGAACAAAAAGATTCTTGAGGTTAGGAATCAACACGCTTTGCAAGAGTCCGCCAAACAAAGGTCTATAAATAGGTGCATTAAACTATAAATCAATTCTACAATATTCAAACACTACATGCATTCAGACAATATATCGACCTACGTAGGCTGAACTGAATCCAAAATCTCAACAATGGTATCCACGTTTATATCATGTTTATCAATAACTAGCAAAAAGCAGATAAACTTGACAAAATCCGTCGAAAATCGCGAAACTTTTCCTTGGGACAAGCGGGTCAGAAGCACCACAAAGATGTTTTTCGTGTAAGAAGTAAGCACCGATCTAAGTTTTTTTGAATTAGTAACAGCAAAGTTGGTTTAGTGCAATGTGTAGGATAAAAAGGCTGTTATCAAGCATTGAAAAACACAACCAAGTCAAACATACAATGGAAATGTTTCAAAAATGGTCATGAGCAGATCAAATCCGTGCTGGTCAGTATGACGAGATCCCAACAGCATCTGACAAACACCCAGGAATGGACTCAGCTGCGATTGCTGAGCTATTTCTACATGTCCTTTGCGGATATATGCCTGAAGCAAAACTACCAATGCAGGGATATTTCCTTTATTACAACACCAGATACATTAGTGTTGGCATGCTCAACTATCAAAACTGATTATTTTTTCATCAATCACAATTGAGAACATACCAAGAGTTTGCCATAAAGTAGGTGTTAGAAGCGGCGTCATCAACTGTTGGTAGGCAGGTGAAAGTCCAGGATCGGGCCGGAGAGTGAGCATTTGGGCAAAAATCTGGAACACATAGGGTGTGAATTCTAAACAGCGTTTGAAGAGGTTAGCAAGTTTAAAAACAACGCAGCTGATTGAAATACGTACCTGGAACATCCATTTGAAGAATTTCAAGGAATGGTTGAACAAGGAACAACTCAAAATCGGCCACAATGGCTGGATTAGTGACAGAAACAAATCTACATATAAAAGGCACATTAGTACAAAAACGTCTATTATATTTAAACACATCTAGCCATATACCTAATCATGAGAGCAACTGACTCGAACACAAAATGATTGAATTTAGGGTTGCTAGGATTCTTGCTGATTTCCTTGATGATGGCAGTCAACCTCGACAGCACCATTTGAATGTCAGGAAGTTGGTCTCGAGCAGTGGCAATAACTCGCATGATGCCTAGTTTTAAAATTCAAGCAAAACTGCACGTAAATCAACCTAGAAATAGCATATCTAGAAACTCTAGACAGAAACACAAAACATAACTCCAACTATTATACATACACTTCATCAGATAATCATTCTCGGCAAGTTTCTCTGGAGTGCGACCAGATTCGATACGGTCAAACAGATGCCTTATCACAGAACTAGCAAACAAGACAGTATCTGTTGGGGTAAACCTAGGTAGAATAAACACATTGTTTAATATCAATCTAATCATTGTGAATTCAATTTTGGCAAAAATTGTTAAATAAGCATTCTTACATGAGGGAATTTCCAGATTTTAAAGCCAAGATACGCTCAATAGCATGAGCAGCCCAAGTGTGTACAACATAATTGGTAGACGACAGATGATTCACAACATGGGGAATCACATTCATAAGCTGCTCCTTGGTCAGCTAGACATTACAAGATATAAAATTGACGCCTGATTAAAAAAACATTGAGTTTTAAAATGTCCAAAATAATATCAATTAGAACCGACCTGGCTTCGAAAAATGGTCAAATATTTGATGGCATCCACTTTAATGATGGGGTTCAAAGCCCCATCAACTGGAGCCTGTATATCCGGAAGTACATTTGCAGAAAAAACAGGAATAATGGGAATGTGCTCATTGATTTGAGTAACACCAACTTGAGCAGTTACCGACTTGGCAGACAGTGCGGTAATCAAAAATAGTGCAGTATCCTTTGCTTTCCAGTTTTTAACACGATCGGCTTCATACATCTATTTGATCATAACATTAGCAAAAACATCAAATCTCTACTTTAAAATGTATAATCATCATACCTCAAGATACTTGGTGATGTAGTTGGAAAATATCAATGTGACTTGGCCAGAAAAGTGCTCCAAAAGTCCGCGAACAAGCTCTGCAGCAGCAGTACGCCGTGAATCCGATGCTGATAATACAGAGTATTAGATATTTTATCATTGTAATATACCTTGAAATATAGTAGATAAGGCTAAATAACATACTAGATCCTTCAAGATCACGACGAATATATTCAATAGCGTCGTCTTCAAATAACTCCTCTTCTGCAGCTAGATAATGATTAATAAATCAAACACGTCAATTGTTTTCAAAATAACAAACGTCTTGTCATAAACTATAATGTATCGCTATATGTTGGATCACTGAGCTTACTTTGAAGCTCCATATTAGGCAACACGATCTGACCACAGATACGCTCAAGAGATCCAGGTTGCTCGAAAAAATGACGATGGTGTGCAGGTTTTACAATTGAGGTGAGAAACGACATCATGCGATTGACCAACTAAGTACAGGATGCAATATAAAAGATATAAAATTGTTTATGATCATATAGATTGACTAGCATGTTAAAATAATCAATTTTTTACCATGTTATTCTTTGGTTCACCAGATGTGCTAGTAAGGAGAGTCCATATAATCTGTACAAATTCAGGCAGACGTGGAAAATCATCTTCGTAGAGACGAGCATACAAATCAATAATCTCGCAGGTCATTGATTTAATTTTTTCAATTGGACCAGCTTCATCCGGATCCTAGATATAAAATGCATGTAGAGTGTCAAATCAAAAAATAGTGTCAAGCAATATAGTATAGTCGATAATAGCTAGTAATAAAGAACTGGCACTTACAGATTCAATAATAGAATTTTGATATGTAAGATATTTTGCAAACAAGTTCATAAAATGAGCTTGATTGTCTTCAAAAAACTCGGGCAGATCGTGGCAATTGAGACTGAAAAAAATCTTTTCTAAAAGCAGCAAAATCTCTAGCAATTTAGTGATTCTGGGTTTGTCGGCAGAACTTGCGTCAATCATTGAGTCAATTGCCTATAATGGGTTCAAGTAAAGTATGCATTAATGATCTACATTTACACAATTGGATAGAAATAATCAAAATGTCTTTGGTCGCGAGTAAAGTTTAAAAGCATGCATCATTTCAGCTGTATTTACGTAGAGTGAAACACTAAGGCTAAAATACATAATAGGCAGCAAATCAAACAGCATGATTGATGCCAAATCTACTGGACAACATTGTGTTGTTTGAATAAATGTTCAAAGCAGCATTCACATCACAGTTGCAGTCAATCCCACATTCTTGACACTTGTTCAACTCTCTTTTGATCCAAGTACTTGGTCACTGTCTATTCCAAAGCGAAATAGAGACTGCAGGATGAATACAGAAAAATGATACATTTTTACGTGAATACGACAGTAAAGTATACCTTGAAAAACTCCAAGTAAGGGACGGCAAACTGACTAATGGCAAATTTAATTTCAGAATAAAGAGCATCGCTGCGAAAGTGATGACGCCAACGTTTAAAAATGTAATGAGCAGTTTGGAGGACACCGACGTTGATATCCAAATCTTGCAGGTTTAAACGAGCAACCAAATCCTAATCGTGCAACAATCAATATACTTTGCAAACATTACAAGACTAAATAAGAGTCTTACTGGCAAAAGATTCGACCACTTTGTAGGGAAATCGCTGTCTGCGATAATGGTGACAGCATCGCTAAGAGGATTTCTAAGTGAAAAAGGAACAGTGATCATTAATGATACAATGATGGTTTTGATAGTGGACCGATCGGCCTCTGGAATCTTGTCTTGCCCATCATCACTCTGAAAAATTGATATTTCCGATTGAATTGAAAAGTGTGAATTAGCACCGAGTCTAGATTTGAATAGTTGCTCAAATATAAATCCCATGTCCTGTAATAAATAGCAATCACCTGAGCCCATTCCTTCTTGGTAAAGTTTTTAAAATAAAGGGCAGCAGCAAAGCGCACACTGATATCCACAGCAGTGTTATCTATGAGTTTCAGCAGCAGAATGGAGAAGCCTGGAACTTGCTCACTAGAGATCAATTGCTGCTCAGCTAATCATGTAGACAGAAATAGGTAAATATATGCATGATATTCTATAATTGGAAATAGTGAATCTTGATCATGGCAGGTCGAAAGACTAAAGAAAACTCGATCTTGACCAGATCAATCCGAATGTCCGAGATGACATTCAAAAAGTACAAGAAATAAGAAGAGTTGAACGTAATACCTGCTTTTCGAGTAGCAGGTTCAAGAGTTTGACGCAAACACTCGGAAATAGTTTGAAGCTGTTGCTGTTCTTGCGTATTCATGGTGTCAGCAATCGTGATAAGTTGTTGTTGCAACGAATAATCAAACATGACTGTTGGAAGAACGAAAACGATCATTTCTTATTACTAATGATCGTCTCTTGTTGCTGTCGTGTTCGCGTAAAACAAGTGTCAATCTCATGGCATGATTAATGCAGTTTACTGAGTATTGTATGAATTCATTCTTGAAGTTTACTGCTTTTTAAGTGATTGTCATGTTGAGTTGTATTCTTGATACGCGCAATCTTTTCTTGAATTGCAGTTTGATTATATGATGAATATCGTTTATTGAACAAGTAATCCAGCCAATGTTCAGTAAACTTAACATTTGATCATTTTTTATTCCAAATCAAAATACTGACAATCACTGCAACATACAAATGTTTGATTTTATGTGAATACAACATTGTAATGTTATAAATATTCAACTGTTCGATATATCATCACAACAATCAATAACCAGTTTGATCCACACAATCAGTCATACTTGTGTTTAATACATGCATACACATCAATTGATTGTATCAACCATGTGTATAGTGTACTATTGTATATTGACAACACATCACATTATTGTATATGGATGAATGGTTCAAAATACACGATTAGTAGTTTGTTATGGATTGAATACAACACATTCAAACAACAATGTTTAGTGTTTGTAACACAATTTGGTATTGATAATTCATTGTATTGCAGTGTTGATATCAAGTCATGCAATGTGTTGTTTGAATTTATTCAATTCACACGATCGGATGTTGAATATTCAATCGGAACGCACGACTGAGTCATGATGAGTGTGAGTCATGACTGTGAGACAAATGAGACAATCAACTCTACAAGTTAAACTACACAATCATCTAATAATACTCACAGATCATCCAACACTCTGGTCATGGCAATTATGAGTGATTTTGGTCTCGTTGACATGATTACAGTCATTGATACATTCATGTTTTTATTTTAAATATATTATAATAATGCTAGTGTATTTACAATCAGCAATCATCGTCATCTCCTGTGCAAGTCTTTTTTGATGTCATCAAGCCTCTCCTTGTTCATCTTGACTTTGACGATGAACGGAGTCAGCATAGTCTTGATTTCACCAATATCAACCTTGAGTTTGACTTCTGTCTCTTTGATCTGACTACAGAGGAAACTACCAAGAATAGTAGCTACTCCAAACATTGCTAAATACAGCAAGTAGTTTTTGCTGATATGATCTTGAACCTTGTCATGCAGGGGTTTGGATGTTGCTGCATGACTGTTGGTAGTGGTAAATGATCGTTTGAGTATGTGGGAGTGTAGTAGTTTTAATATGTGATGAGTCGAGTTGTTCATTAGGATTTTATTTGGGAAAAATGAATCAATTTATCAAAATGGAAATTTCACGACTTGAATCCATAATTAAACTTTGCATGTGATTTGACATTCATTACATATTATTGACTTGATTTTGAATATGACTGTTGACTGGCATATTAATGCATACTAATGCATTGCTATTACTTGTATTACAATTTGACCAATACATACATACAGCAATGCATTACTTTGAATATCGAATCTAACCATTCAGATTCTGCTGGGATCTGTCATCAACAGTATCATACATTCCATTAATACTGTGATATTGCATGGTATGCTATGCTATGGTATACTATGTGTGTATGACAGTCAATCAGCGTAGTCAATTGATGTAATATGCTAGTAAAAGTCGCTACAGTCAAATATACTTGCTGTTGGTTTATGATAAAAGATGCCAATACACGGCATATCGAGTGTTTACATGACACATGTCAAACATGTTTGTGCACCATCATGTGGTGATCGTGGTATGCATCATGATGTCGATATACAACATACACTAGGTGGATTGTTGATATCACACGTTTAGTTTTACTATTGTGCATGACATTCAAATCAAAGTTGAACTTGATTGGTTCTAATACAGTATCAAGTATATCAAGTATATCTGGATTATTCAGCGTATATATTGTCAATCAGCGTATTACTGTTTGTGTTGTGTTGTTGCATTGATGTGTTATTGGCATGTCTAAATATACAAGTATTTCAAAACCTGAATCACACCAACACTAAATAAGTTCTTGGCATACAGTATCAAAACCAATTCCAACTGATTGCGGATATACTGATTGTCAAAAGTGCAACCATTTATCAACAAGACTTGAAATCGGTTGTCAACAGTAAATACCCAAACCACACTGTTACCAATCGAATCGTGTATTGAAATATTAGTGTTTTCGATCATTGGTATTTGAATGGCGCAGTCAACAATAAGCTATCCACAACCAGTCATGCAACTCAGCATTTAACAACTCGATTTAATCAATGGCTGGTTCGAGTTTGTTCAACATTTTGATAGATCCAATATGTAAAACTGGTTGTAATGGTTTATGGTAGATGTTTTAAATGTTCCGACTTGATACAAGGATCAAGTGGATCAAGTGGATCAAGTGGATTGAAAGTGTTGGAAAGTGTTGGAAAAACTGAAAGACTGGTTCAAATAATAACACTGGCTAAAAACACGCCATTCGAGTCGTCTGTTTTGTATGGATATGGTTGGCTTGTCAAACTGGGTTCCAACGATGCAAGAGTTGAGTCAACTGCCAAAATAACCACGCAATCAATCCACTATCGTGTATCGATTGTGTCAAAGTGGTGGTATTGTTTTCAATCATACAGTCCAGTAAACTCTTTTCGAGTGACTTACACTCGTTGATTGACAAATTGATACCGCAAGTGATCTTGTAATACACAGCCATTGTGATCAACACACAAAACATCAATTTGAACCACTCATTACATCAATTGATTCCTGACAACTCTTGGTCACTAAATGAAATATTACACGATACAGTGATTACAAAACAACACGAATGGACTGGACTGGACTAGACTAGAATGGATTGGAGTGGAGTGGAGTGGATTAGTTTGGTTTTGGATCTTACTGTAGATGCATGACATTATCGGTTTACCAACCACAACCACGTTATCAGCTACAATTTGTAATGTATGTTTAATCACAACCAGTCAAATATTTCATTGTCCCATTTGATCAACCACCAATCAGTCTCGAGTAGCAATCCAATGTCGATGGTATAATATTTCTAGATTCATCCATTAAACTACTGTTTTTGTTGATATTGTTATACGGAATGTCACCTAATGTATGCTTTGAAAAATGCTCACCAATTATATTTCTATTACCCATTGTTCATTACTCATTGTTCATTCAACATTTTTGGCATTGTATCATAGATGGACATATCAATACAGCATGACTCCACATAGCCATGACATAAAACTTGCAAATGCCATTTTGTTGTAATCCTACCAACTGTCCATATACTGGAACTTCACAGCAGTCCTGGACACATTTGTGGTTGTTGTAATATCAGCAATCTTGGTGCAATCTTGCAGCAATCAGCCAACACTCGTAATTGTCCAAATGAACTTGCGTTTCATTTGTCAAACGTGTATCAAACTGCAAACCATTACCATCACAATCGTGTGCCTGTCGACTAATACAATGTTCTGATGTGATACAATATTGCTCCATATGAAAACACTACCACACGAGATATTGTTCGACTTTGCGATCTCACGACTTGCGTGGTAGAATTGACTTTCAAGGCGTTGCGACGTATAACAATCCATCAAAACATGATCAGTGCTGTTAAAATATGATACACACTGTATAACTGATATGGGTTGTCATGACAGACATTGCACTACAAACAGCATTCACGATCTTGAGTTGCAGATATACACATCACAGGTATTTGAACAGATCCGATACAGTCATGTAGAACTGACAAGTGACAATACATCTGATTGTATCGGAGTTGTTCAGATGGTTGAATGTGTATACTTGTAATCATGTTCCAGTTCCATCATTCATGGTCATATAGTATCACTCGATCAAAAACACCATTTTTACAATACATTTGAATATAAACTGGACAAATCATCCATTTTATGCCGACAAGTAATTGACACAAAGTATGCTAGACATGTGGTTATGATTTACAATGGATCACACATGATTACTACACAATATCTTGCTATACAACTCAATATATGATCAGTTGCAATGTATGCTCCATTTGTACCATTTTGATAGATTGGTGGTGTCCATTTCTGATACCTGCCATTAGACATGTATGCCATTTGATGATCAAGCAACACCGATTAATATCCACCAAATTAAACTCGATATTGTTGGACAGTTAATAGCGTATGTCATTGTAATGCGAGAGTGTTGAGATGTCAAGTCTGTTGATTTGCACTGAGTGAATCCTTTGTATATATCTGGGATGTGATCATCAGTTGTGATCACCAGTCACCTCGGATGGAAGATCTATAGTAATCAGGTATCCTCAACAATGATGCTTGAACGATGATCCGCATACATTCCTTCTGGTATTGTTCATCGCTCCCATATTATAAAAACACACTCTTCCCGTTCTTTAATAAACAACGCAATTAGTTTATTGGATCATTCCTTTGTATCTTTGATTTGCTGTGATCTACTTGCCAATAATGACAACCATCAATGCCATCATATGCTCACGATCTACACAAAGTTGTCAAAACATAAATTATTCGCAGAAAGGAATTCAAGTCAAAAGTATTAGGGTAGAATAGTCAATAGCTTTGCTTGTAATTCATAATAAATACGAGCTATTTGTGCCAGACTCATACTTGATGCCTCAAATTGGATACAATGGGTAGTTTTTTAACCAGTACTAAGCGTTAATGTACACAGACTGGGTTTGGCTGGATCTTGTTGTAAGAATGATAGAGTATAAAATCAAACTACTGACAAGTCCGTGTTTATCGAGTACGAGTCTTTATATTTCCAATCAACTCTTCCAAATGTGATATTGTGTCTTGCAATGCCAAAATGGATTCAAATTTGCTTGATTACACTATGCATTTGGACATCATTGCTGATCTGTTGAATTGCACGCTTTTTTTGATCATCTTTTTGATACTCTAGCATATTCCATTCATAATTGTGTCTAGCCTCCAACTCTTGATCCTGGCTCATCCCTGGTTGTTTTTGTCAATACCATTGATTGGGAATAAAACCAGAATCAACCCGCTGTTTATCACGTATGGCTATTTGATTCAATTCAGTTGCAAACAATTCTTTGTAAGAGTATACTTTCTGGTACTCCTTGTATAATACCAACATCTCTTGAAACAGCTGCTTTTGTGCTTGTAACAATCCCTGCAGTGTTTCGTCAGCTGGGAGTTTGATTCAAGTTTGAAACCCGAGACTATCGATCGGACAAATCCAATGTCAGCAAAACTGCTGTACAGTTTGGCAGTCAATTGATTGTCCATAATTGTAAGCAACAAAACAACTTTTATTTGCAAAAGAAAAAGGAAAACGCAGTTTGTTTTTGAATCAAAATATTAGTTTCAAAACTGTATGGTGAAAAACAGTCTTGGGATATGCAATTATTTACAAGAAACTATAGGTTTCAAAACCAAAGCGATTAAATTACACGACTGGGAAGTTCCTGACAATCAAAGTGGTCATTTCCACAAAGTGAGGTTTGTTGTCCGATGGAACCCATACGATATTATTCACCTTTAAGAAATCAAACGCCGTGTATTGTGTAGAACAAGGTCGAGAAACAGAGTTAGGATTAGCGTTATGCGGCCAATAAAAATCATTAATTCTAGTCTACATACCTTATTGATGAGATGGTTCAAACGTCAAAACAAATCGAGTCAACTTCTCAACACTCGCAATAGTATCGTTTTGTGACAACACTCGACCATCTGTTCCGTGGTAGCTTTGGCGTGTAAAACAGGCAAAACGATCAGGAGGTACAACAAAATACAGTTCTGGTTTTGACGGATTACCAAGTATTTCCAAAACACCACAAATCCCAGTCTGTTTGCAAGGATGATCTTTGGCACCGGTCATTTGGAAAAGTAGATTTGGCTTGATGAACGAATCAACAGATTCAAAAATATTGCTAATGGGACGGAAATAGCAATTCGTTGCGTCTTGAACTTGAGAGTTGTTGGAGAATAACAAAGTACTAAGATCCATTGGCAGTTGAAGTGTAGACTCCAGCTTGGTACGTAAATCACGAATCTTGAATGAACCACCTTTAGCGATGATTGTATGAGCGTGCTTTTCAAATAATACCCTATTAAGTTGACCAGTTTCACCAATTTCTCGAGTGACAGAAACGAATCTGATAAGATGATCTCGGTCTCTGGCATAGACACGGTTGTAAATTTCATCAACCACATAGTCAGAAGCAAACTGATAAGGACCACTGTGGAAGCCATCACTGACTGATATATGAATCAAACAACTTGAAGCGTCTAGGTTTTCACCATATTTACCAAAAGACTTGACAACTGAATCGATATTGGAAATATTTAAAGCTTTGTCGAGAAAATTCTGTTTTTCTTTTACCAATGCATATTTAAGAACATAACGAGCAATTCCTCCCCACTTCAAATACAGGCTTTCAACCAATTCTTGTGGAACTGTAGGAAACAGCATTGAGCGACAAGAATGCAATTCTTCTTTTGACCACACTGGCATATACCGAATGTCGCAGGAATTCTTGCAAAACTGGTACCAAATTTCCCGACGAGGTGAAGTAACAAGAATGGTCCTGGCATTAACAACAGTTGGAGCCATGCCATCAACAATGTAGAATGTTGACAAGGACATCAACTGATTATGGAAAGATCTACGATCTCCTTTGAATACACCATTAGGAGTAAACAAGTATAGACATTCTTCCTGAAAACTTTCATACACGACTGTAGCACCAGAGCGAGCAAGATGCAACAGCAAAAAGTAACCAAAATATGTCTTGCCAATTCCAGGATTTCCAAGGATGATCAAACGACATATACCAGCAGATTGCACAATAGATAGTGATTTTTCAAAAAGTTTAGGATAACAAGGACGGATGTAAATGGATGATCCAATTGAATGGTTTCCAAGGATGAATACGTCTGCTGGAAGTTGGACAACAGTGTTTCCTTCAAGAGGGTTAGGGTAGTTTGTGAAAGCAGTCCAAAAATCCAGTAGTGCGGGTGAGGCTGCAGCAGATGTTGGACCTAGGTCAGTTTGAGTAGGTTGTCTTGAAGGTAGAGGGGAAACACCAATAACAACACAAGAACCGTCTTGAGTAAAGTATTCTTGAGGAAGAGAGCTGAATAAAGCCCAGGTGTTGATTAGTTGGTCCTTGTTACTGTTGGTGTAGAGTTGAATGAAAGCAGGTGGGACAGGAATAGCAGGACCATACTCAGACTTGATGGCATCCTGAACTCCACCAAGTCTACTGATTCCAGTAATGTCAATTTCAGTAGTAAGTGTGCCATATTGGACGTTGAGGAATCGTTTTGGCATTTTATGAAAAGAAAAAGAGTAAAAAAGCAATTTATTTGTCAAATTGTAAAACAAAAATCGACTTTTTAATCGAGTCAAAATAACAAAATTTTGGGATATTTCAAGACAATTCACACGATTTAAATATTTGGAAATTAGTCAAATTTACACCAGAATTAATGTCTCATTAATGTGAGACATTACTAGTGTGAGAGTGTTGACTTGCATTGTGTGAGACATTACTAGTGTGTGAATGTGAGACATTTCTGAATAGTTTAACAATCAAAAACCAACAACAATGACGTTTGAACTGGAATTCACATGACTTTCTTGGTTTCTTCCATCTTATAAACACACTCTCTTCCTTGTTAATAAACAACACAATCGAATATTGATTCATTCCTTTACATCTTCAATCAACTGCAACACACTTGACAATTATGACAACTATCAATATGTCATCAGACATCCATGATCTTCAAACCTGAAAGTATCCACAAACTCATGTTTAATATTTGTACATATTCCATTGACATACTACAAACTGACTTTGAACATCACATTGCATTGTTTTGGTATCAAATGATACGATATGTATCAACCGAGGTTTTGTATTCACATCAACATCAACATCCAGTATATAAAACATATCAACCATATTTGATTTGACAGTCATTTGTCACATTGTTGTGTACTTGCAATGATCCGTATCAATCATTTGCATGTAGTCAGCTGTCTAGTGTAATGTATGCAGTATGATCACATAGCATGTCATCTGGTGATATAGCATACACCACAACCACAACCGGAAACATCGATCGTCAATTGTCGTCCTAATCAATATCAACAGTTGCATCAAACAAATGCACAAATCCACAAATCGGCAAGTGCAATGCATACAACTACAACATGTGTATACGAATACCGATCGTGTCCAACTATAAGCTATGTATATTGAAACTATTGGATAGTATTTGCTTGACATTGTCATTGATAATCAAGTAGTCTTGTGAGTGATCATATGCATCCAACATGATTTACATGGTTGACATGTTGGTGTTGGCTGTATCAATACGACTATCATCAATATATACTTGCAGTGGTAAATATCAACATGCGATATATCCAGTGATTGTATACTGGTCAATTGGTGCAATATGATCAAACATACTAACAAAGTGTGAACCATCATATACTTGCAACAGTATATCATATTGCACTGTTGATATCGAGTATCCAATGTCAATGCAATATATCAACTCACTCGATGTGGTTGGTATCAATCGTTGTGATCGTCAAGTGCCGTCATTACTCATGTATGTACCGGTTGTGTGTGGTTGACATGTATTCAAATGCAACACCATCAACATACACCGACATTGCCATCAACTATAACTGGTGTGGACTGCAATTGATTGTACACGGTAGTTTGATATCGATTGCAGTTGTTGATTGATGCTCAACAATGTTGTAATGTTGAGTGACTGAATCAAATTGCAGTGTATATACAACGAGTCATACAACGAGTTGCTCGAGTGATACAATGTAATGCAATGAGTGCATCAATCCAGAATACGAGTCAACCATGACATATGATCATGATGTGTGGTTGATACAACTATAATGACAATCGATGCTGATATAGTAGCACACAACATGCAATGCCAACACAACAGTTGCAAGTCACTGATCATCAACGTGACATTGTGGTTGCAACATGGACTGTATTGTATTGATTCAGTTGATTGATTGAATTACCGAGTAATGTGCAGCGATGACTGATCGTGTCGAGTTGAATGCAAAGCATCACCAAACCACAACATATTGAATCATGCCAATCAATTGCCATTTGAAAAGCATGACTATCACAACACATTGGTAATCAAGTAATAACCAAATATCAAAGGCATTGCATATAGCTATGCAATATTATTCAAAATATGTACCTGATTATATTTTGATTTACCAACCCTTTCTAGGGCACAAAAGGGGTGAGAACCTACACAGTTAATTAACTATGCAATATTTTAATCCACAAAAAGTAGTGACCAAAGTTGCGGATTATTGCATAAAGGGATATCCCTTGAAAGTTTGACATTGATAACAATAAATCAATCCCAACCCCGACAATAAAGCCAATCCCTTAGGACGGTCATCCAAAAATTATGCTTGATATTATCCACTCAATACGAATATAAATACGACCCAATAATTGACCTGTTGGACGATAATCATATACAACTTGCTTAATCAAACCAGTAAAATGAAACTCACAGTCGCTGTATTGACATCACTTTTGGTCGCTTGCTCGGTTACTACAGCCAATCCCATTCTTCCCAGTGCGACTACAAGTACTGAATCTAGCTCTTTGCCAGCTCCTAATGGAAACGGTATAGGCTTACAGGGTCTTGATTCACTTCCAGCTGAAGTCGAAAGCCTGCTCGAAAAATACTCAAAAAAGCGAGGCAAATATTCTATACAATTAGAATTATGCAAATCAATAGAATCTCAACTTACCGAGCAACAGAGATTGGTAACGCTTCTGGAAAAAGAGGTTGGAAAATTGAGAACTGTACTTCAAAGTGGTGACGGCGATCTAAGACGTGGTCGTAATGGTAAAATGGAAGGACTCAAGGCTGATCTTGAAAACCTATACTCCAAATACTCGAAGATTGAAAAACAGAGCAAGATTGCGATCTCGATATTATAATACTTGAGAATGAGCTGAATTTCCTCAAAGTAGACCTCGTGAAGCTCGTTTTCGGAGCGTCTTACAATGCTAAATTGCTTGATGAACAATTTTGGGAAATCCTCGCACATTCTACCGTTGATGCTTATTTGGAAACATGTGATGGAGAACAATCATCAGGATGCAAAAAGAGTTCTGCTCAAGCTCCTAGTGATCAACAAGAAAGTCAAGCTCCACAACCATCACCTGAAGCATCACCAGAAACATCATCAGAAACATCATCACCTGAAGCATCACCTGAATCTAGTTCCATGGGACAAACACTTTCCACTATTGGGAGTAATGTTGTTTCCAGAGTTAGCGGTGGGGCTCAATTCCTTTGGGGTCAAATCATGCATGACAACTAATCCGACTGATTTGAATGCTAATCTGGACTGGTCTCGACCGATTCAATTGTCATTCTACAACTGCATGTATGCTTTAGCTTACAATAAAATTTGATTTTCATGGACGAATGTTGATCATTGCACTGCTTTAGTTGGTATATTTGTGTTTGACATTGATCGACAATCATTAATATTATCAGCACATTCACACATTATACAGTCAAAAATAAGACCCAATCACGGTGCTCAACCAGATCCTGTTCAGTGTTTGCAGTCTCTGCAGTGGTGACTGGACCAAACTCATGATTGCTGAAAACATGGCAAGATCACCGCATCAATCAACCAGTACTGTTTACTCAATCACCCAATGCATTCGTGACAAGACTACTGACTGAGTTTGCAAAACAAGTCGTATCCATGAAGCCGAATGATCTAAACGAATCCAATTTTCGGAAAGCAAGAGTAGCTGCGCTTTCGAATTTGCAGCATCATCAATTGTCACTCGCTGATATTTTGAAGCTACTGGCGACTTGTTTTACAAACACGCCTGTTACATATCTACTAAACTGTCCGTTTTCTGAATCATCGCTACCTTCTGCAAGAAACCTTACTTGGAGTCAAATGGTTTCAAACGGGATGTGTCAAATTCAAGATGATGGTCAAGTGATTGTACCATTCCATATCATTGTTCAGGCTTTGAAGAGACCATTGAATGAAAGGGTCGGTCTAAACCAATTTGAAGCGGCACTCCTATCATCGTTGAATGGTTTGTCGCTTGACATTGAATATCCATTTTCCAACATGACTCGTTGGTCATCATGGGAGTATTTTGGTGCTAGTTTCTACTGTATCAGAATCAACTCGTTTCTTGTATTGGGAATATCGATACTTGTTTTGTCTGATATACTGCATGGATCGCAGTTTGATTCAGGCATTTTCAATACTCAAGTTCACATCAGAATCGCCAAAGTTTTCCAATCAAACGAGCAATATGGACCTGATATGCCACGGGAGATCACTCGGAAACACGACAGCTGTTGTCTCGTTGACTGGGTTGACGGCGAGACATTGCAAATTGTGCTCAATGGTGAGAATGGACCAGGAGTGGATATATACTTTATTCTGAAACGCGCAAAAGACTCTGGCTATATCATAGTTTTGGATCAACGAAAACGACTTGGTTCTGATATTACAAACTCGGATCTGACCACTTTCCGATCAAAATTACCGAACCCGCCAGCATGTTTAAACAAGTTCAAGTTGGACTCTGTTTTTGGTTTGATGAGCATATATTCAGAGATTAACATTAACCATGTTCCAGATTCAACGTATTTTGTTTCTGCATCAGATTCTCTGTATTTTCATGGTTCACTCTATGATCATCCAAGGTGTTCTATGGCCATTGATGTCAATTCTGCATTGAAAATCTCGATCAAACAGATATTCTGTGGTACCAATCATGAGCAAACGGATTTAGCAAACAAGGTCATTGAATAGCGCTACAACAAACGCATTGCAAACTATGATGAACTTGAATCATTGGTGTCACAATGGGGTGGAAAGTTGGACGAGTCGGCTCATGCAAGAATCAAGTTTTAAAAACCTGGCTAGTATTTACATTTTACTATTTATCAACCATAAATGTAGAAGGTGTAAAACATGAGTTCAAGTATTGATTTTATCGAATTCAGCAAGTGGTTGATTGCAATAAATGAACGCTGACTAGATGTTGGCATGTACTGCACAAAAATCAACCAAATCATTGCAACTTTCAAGTACCATTTATTCAGTTTCAGTTTTAATGGCATTGATTCATTTTTACAATCTTGGACAAAATATAGCAGTGATTATGGGTGAATCTCATCAATTGTGTTCATTCGAGTCAGAGTATGAATCTGGCACGGTAAGCAACCAATCATTCCAGGTCATCCACTATTATACACCAAGTCTTTTATCCAAGATTGTACATCTCGAATAAACAGTGTGTGACAACTATGGACACATGTAGCAGTAATTGACGGTCAAGAAACTGGTATCAATGTTTCATGTATACTACCAAAGTGTGTAGTTTAATTGTGATTGTTTGATTGGTACATATTTGTACATATTTGTATGACTGAATGATATGGCTGCAGTTATTTAATCATTTGAATACAGGAATGAAACCTTGAATGTAGATTGTAATCCAAACTTTATATTACAAATATTGTTTAAATTGACTCTTGGGATTGTCAGTCCAATAACATGCCATTAAACGATCATTCGTTGAGTTGAGTGGTGATATTGGCTGTATTGGTTGGATAAACACTGTCGATTGTTGAATCAACACAACAACCATCATATGACACACAATCAGAATATAGTGTTGAATCTACATTTTGTGAACTCTTAGTAATCATACATTGTACGATCACCAAATTTGAACCCACATTCATGTATTGTGTTTGACTGTCAATATTGTCAATACAACTCTGTACACACATTTATTGTGTTCATCACCATCCAACCCAATCTCACCATTTCAATCAATCTTGATCAATGTTGATGATTTACACGCTAATTCATTATCCAATCTTGTCTGACATTATTATTGGTTTTAATCACATTTGGTTTGTACAACTGCCATGAGTTGTACTACCATTATCATTGTGTATCTGGACACCAAATATTCCAATACATCAATAATGCCACAGTGTAAACAGTAATACAGTTGATCAGTCTTGTGGCAAGACTTTTCATTCAAGTTTGTATTTGGAAATACTCGATGATTTAATCACCACACACTATTTGTAATGCGATTGTAATTGATCTCATCTCATCTCATTCCAGTCCAGTCCATCTGATTTATGATGATGTTTAGTAATCCATTACCATGTGTTGTAGTAAACTAACTTGTTTATTAAACCAAATCCACAACAATCACATTCAGAATATTAATTTACAGTATTTCTAAATGCATGTTTGATAACAATCCAATTTTGTTACAAAAAACTGATCAAAACAATACTAAAATGGAACAACTCGTTTGTGTGTTTTACAACAATCCAAACATGAACAATTCTTGGCAATTGTTGAACATTCGCATAAATGAAATTGTCAAATCAAAATTCAACTTTACTAATTTTATCAAACATGGATTGTGTTGATATCATGAAAGAGTTTATCAAACACCTGGAAGATTTGGAACTGTTAACAACAGATGCTCAACTATACAAGGCTGATGAAATATGGGACAGACTGCTTGTATTGATAATGGAGTTGAAACAACATAACTGCAGTAAGTTTAATAGCAATTGGATTATTGATGAGTTCAAACCATTTCTGACTTTGTGTTGGTTTGAAATGGCAGACTTTAAAGTTATAGTGCCTCGCTTACAGAGTATTGGACTGCAAGATATCATAACCGATTATTTGGAGTATAATCGACCCAGTTTACAGGTATTCATATATTGTAACAATAATGGATTGTTCATGACTAAACTAATCAACATGTGTTGTGTAGGTCAAAGTAATGGAGTTTACTAAAGTATTTGCGATTGTGGTGTACTATGATCATGAGTTCAAAGTATCACATCGACTA